GTAATATGTCGTAAATATTCTGAAAACCATTTCACAGTTTAAAATTTAGGCCTTCGTTAATTCTCCCCTCCATCTGCCTGGATATAGGTTTTGTGTAGCTGCGTACAATTATATACGTTTCTGCAAAAAGCATCAGAAGTGAGTCTTTCCAATGGTGCACCAGTATAATACCGACACTGTCTGAACTGAGCCGCCTGCTGCTGCGTTATGGCCATGCCTTTAATTGGAGCTCAGTTTGCTCATTAAGTAAATTGAAGTTAAATAGAGCTTGGCCAAATGGGGTCTGGTGCAAAAGGCTTTGGAGCGAGGCAGTTCTGATTTGGATCGTGACAATTAATGACAAAGGAGAGAAATTAACATTAAGGCACGATTTAGATAAGGCAGACATGTCGAACTTAAAAAAAAATATGAGGAAGAAGGTGAATGTGGGACATAATAGAGAATAATGGGTGAGAAGTGAAAAGGAAGAGATTGTCCAGGAGACAATGTGCTGGCCGGTGTCTGTTAACAGTGCAGTTTTAGCATGATGAACTAATCCATCTCATTGTTGCCTTCAGGGACCAGGAGGAGACACTCTGCTACAAAACACCTCGCAGTCTGTCCTGATTTTGTGAAGTGATGGAAGTCTAATACAGGACCAGAGATTATGTTTATACTTTTCCTTCATAGAAGTTTATGACAACGGGGACGAGACGGGTTGCTGTTGGGCTTTGCAAAGTGTGTTTTGCCACTGACCTCTGAAGTCTTCAAATTCTGTGGAACCTTTTATGTGAAAATGTCGCTTTGGATGTTGAAATCCGGAAGAGTGAGGAGTAGAAGATGGAGCAGGACTCTGAAGAAAAACAAAAAAAACAACAGGTCTATGTTAATATACAGAATTATAATGAAGGTGAAAGACAACAGAGGCAAAGTCCTAAAAAGCAAAGAATTGATTCTTTTACTGTATAAAAAGAGAGTCAGTTGATAAAATAAAGATGTTTTTATATCAGAAAAAAAAACAAATTATCGCTCTTTGGATCTGCTGACATCGAGATTTTTTAAAATAAACTATTATATTTTCTTTAAATGTAGTTTTTATTTGGAAATACAACATGATTCTAATTTAAGAAGCTTCAATTTACGCAAAGTTGTAGAAACTGTCTTCAGATTTAAACATGCCCTTTTAAACTGGCTCTATTTTTGTCATTTTTAGGGATTTAAAAAAGAACTGTGTAAAAAGTGCATACTTTTTTCACATTCAATTTAAAAAGCCATCATACTTCCACCGAGATCCATCAAAAAAAAAAGAAGGAAAAAAAAGCCAGCTATGTGGAGGCAGCCTTTGGCACATGAACATGTAAATCACTGGTTGTGAGATCACTGCCTGGGAGCCAGTGGAGTGCCTCATTTGCATACTGAAAAGACAAATACCCAAACACTTTAGACAGATTGCTTATTTTCCTGCTTGCAGCAGTGGACTGGTGAATAGCAACTGTATCAGAAACGGATTTAGAAAAAAAACCCTGCAAATATCCCCTGTCTGTCTTTCTAAACCAAAAGAAAAAGTGGAGAATTTGACCTCCTCTACCTAAAAAAGAAAAAAGAAAGAGGGCTGAAAAGACCAAACACGTCCTGTACTTTAGGGATTGTGAATGGAGTCCCCCTGCAGCCCGCCTGCCCCACATACGGCAGCTGAATACAAAAGACCCCCTTCTGTAAGAGCAATCACTACAGGAGGCCTCTTTATCTGCCCCGCTGCAGCGACGTGCCACAATGAAGCCATCAGTGGACGCTGTGTCGTCGCACACTCACGCATGCGTGCACGCCAGTGCGTACAAAAGACGAATGCGTTGCATGTAACCATTTATTGCTTTAGTCTTTACAGGCACATGCACGAACTCGTTCCAAAAGCCTCTCAGCTAATGAGTCCTTTTCATCCTCCAGTGCCGGGCAGGAGCAGGGAGAGAGATGAGAGCTCGGCGCCGATTTGAATATTCAAATTATTTACTGGCACCCAACAGAAGGGGAAGCAGCGTGACGGGTGAATCCCGGGTGTGTTTTGGTTCGAAAGTGCGTGGAGTTATTGCCTGAAAGGTCCAGGGCGGGCTGGGTGTTTTGGTTTTATTAGGAGACGCCAAAAAACATTCAAGCGTCGTCCAAAAAAACAAATAAAACTTTCACTCTTCTCGTATGGCGTGTCCTTCCACTCTCACAGCGTTTTCCGCATTGTAAAATATTTTTTCTGACATATAAATAACAGCTCACCGAGGAAAAGGAAGAGACTTTGTAAACTGCATGATGTAATTCTGTCAGTCCTCTGGAATATCAGCAGTGGAACAGCAACAATACTGGGAAGTAGGGCTCACGTGATTCCTGAGCTGCAGGCGAGCAGAGGAAAAAAAAGGAAAAAAAAAAAAACAATGGAAGAATTAATTAAGCAATTATTTCTTTGGCACAGACTCATGTTTCTGGCTGGCGTGGATCTTTATCTTATTTTATTTTTTCTCACTTTCACATCAGTGTTCCCATTTGTCTGTCTTTACTGGCTGTGAGAGCTCAGTGTTGCCCTGACCGATTTCTTTTCAGCACTCAACTTATTTACAGTCTCCAGACAAAGGAAGTTTCTGACTGGCCTCGTTTTCTGGGCTGCTTTTCCATCTAGGGTGTGACAGGCACAGACAAAGAAACCATCCTAAATGATAATCAAACCCTGGGGCCAGTTTGATTGGTCAGAAAAACAAAATGCGTTGCCTGGTTAAAAAAAAAGAGAGACTAGAAAAGAAAATCAACAATCGGGTTGCATTGTGTTGTTGCAAATTGTTCCTAATTGTACCTTATCTCCTCTTCCTGCTGCTTCTAATTGGCTTATTGGAAATCACATCAAGAGCTCTCGTGCCCCTTTCGCTGTTGTCCTACAGTATTTTATCTCTCCAATAGTGTCTTATACTAAACCTAGAATTTGAAAACTGCTTTATTGCTCTGCAAAACTGTTCCTGCTTCTGAACTTCTTTTTAAAATAGTTTGTCACAATAAGTTATCTGACACCAAAAGGGAGCCATTTATTACAAAAAAAGAACAATTTAACCTCATTGTGAAGCGGATTGGTGGCAGCATTATTCTTCTGTGTGGAAAGGAAAGCTTATTAGTGTTGATGAATGGAAGTAAATACTGATAAAAACATGAAACCTCTAAGTCCAGACCTAAATCAGGTTGAACATCTTTAAATTTGCTGTTCACAGATGTCATTCATCCACTCTGATTGTGTTTAAGGTTACAGCAAAGAGGATCAGGCACCAGTTGTAGTTGCTAGATGCGCAAAGTGACATGCAGCTTTGCGCATCTAGCAAAGACGAGGGGATGAATATAAACACAACTGCTTTCATACATCTCTGTACACGCATTGTGTTGCTTGCATTGTACAGTGATGAATTACTTTGTTCATCTGCAAATCCCAATAAAATATACAGAGTTTCGTGGTTGTAATTTGAGCCAAAGATTGTGGGCACTGTTGCAAGGCTCCGTGCCGTATACATCCCCAGGGCAGCAGGGATTGATCGGTTCACAAGGTTTAAACAGAAAAGCTGGTTTATACTACAAACCCGACCCTGTTGACTTCAGCCCGAAAAGAATGAATTGCCATTTTTAGGCTGGAAACGAGCCTCGGACTGAGGTGGAGGACTTTGACAGGCGGTTAAGGGCGGTTTGGTCTGGCAGCAGTGAGAAGTTCCTCCAGTCCCGAGGTGCTCAGAGTACAGTCATTGGTCCCCCACATCAAAAATGAGACAGCTGGGGAAGTTTGAGCTTTTGGTAATGGTGCATTCCAAAGGCTCTAAAACAGGAGGTGTCTGGCAAGTCCCAATGGGAGGAGGCATTGTGGCACACCCAGGACTCCAGGGAAAGATACAGAGCGAGAAGCATGGGAATGTTTTGGAGTCTCACAGAAAGAAGCCTGAGTGCATGAACAGACAAAGTTACCAAACCTACCCCCCTCCACCCCCCAAAAAAAACAGAAAATCACATCTTAAATGTTGAGACTCAATTATTAAGTTATAAAAACCTCAATTTGGGTTAATTTAATTTTATGAGTCACTGTTTGTTGTTCTACTCTGTATTTTGTTCTCAGTTTTCAGGAAGCATTAGCCACTTCTTAAACAGTCTGATATAAAGTCCATTTGAATAGATTCTTTTACTTTCAGTTACCATAGCCAGCTCAATCAAGTGCAGCTCACGACTATAAACTGACTGTCCAAGACAAACAAACCTAGTTCTGCACAGGATTCGCCAAAACAGCTCGGAGCCTTCCCATTCATCACTTTTCGCCCCCCAAACCCCTGCTGAGCCTCATTTGTCGTACCCTGCGAGTGTACACAAATGTTCGGTAATGATCCGTTAATTATGAGGATCCCCCAAAGCCTGTGGGTGTGGAACCACCTGTCCGTGTTCATGCTGGAACCAGTGACATGTGGACGCGCTGTGGGAGCGCATTCTTTGACTAATTGCAAAATTTTGCAGCTGGTTTAAGTCATGTAGCTTCCTAATTTCTCTTAGCCGCAATGATGATCAGAAAGATGAAGCAAAAAATGATGAACAAAAACTTACTAAAAGAAAAGGCCCACAGGGAAGACAGAGCAGAGCAAAACCTCAGGACCTGGGCAGGAGGGAACCAGCAGGAGGAAGAGCAGGAGGTGTTTAAATACCGCAAGACTGATTAGATAACAGGCTGCAGGTGTGAGGAGAGAGAGAAAATGTTATACCAGTGTCCATATTTATAGAAACTGCAAATATTTCTAATTAGTCACATTTGTTGTCTTTCCTCCAAGAGAAGGAAAAGTGAAGGAACCAACATATTTAGCTGCCTGACCAGTGGTGCTGGCATCTCATGATGTGAACGTTAAGCAGACTGGAGGGGATTATCATATATATATATATATATATATATATATATATATATATATATATTTTTTTTTTTTTGTAAAAACATTTCAGACCCGTTTAATGTTCTTTTTCTTTTGCTTCCTCAGTCGAGCCATCAAGACGAACCAGGACCTTCTGCCAGAGACGCCTTGGACCAACATCCTGTATGATGATTTCTGGGGGACGCTGCTCACCCACAGCGGCAGCCACAAGTCATTCCGCCCGCTCTGCACCCTCTCCTTCCGCCTCAACTACACCCTGCACGGCCTGCGACCTTGGGGTTACCACTTGCTGAACATCGTGCTGCACGGCCTGGTCACGGCTCTGGTCACGGCCCTCAGTCACTCGCTGCTCGGCAGGGGCTTGTGGAGCCTCCTCGCCGGCCTCCTGTTTGCCTCTCACCCGGCGCACACCGAAGCGGTCGCCGGCGTGGTCGGCAGGGCAGACGTCGGTGCCGCTTTGTTTTTCCTGCTGTCTCTCCTGTGCTACACGAGACACTGCGGATTACGGGGTGACAAATGGAGGGCTTTTCAAAGGAGGACATGTGGCGGCGGCTCCGCCACCAGATGCTGGGGCTGGATGCTGGGCAGCCTGTGGTGTGCAGCTGCCAGCATGTTGTGGAAGGAGCAGGGTGTGACTGTGCTGGCTGTGTCGGCCGTGTACGACCTCTTTGTGTTCCAGAAGCTGCGCGTTCGCCAGGCACTGCTGCTCCTGTTAGGGAAGGTAAATGAACTCTGGCTGCTTTTGTTTTGTGAGGTAATCGAATTGTGAGTTTGTGAAAATGAGAAGGGATAATTAGGAACGCTATTAACTGGTGCTGACCCACAGCTGGCGCTTAAACATCAGGCTTTTCCTTAACGACTGAGAAGTTCATAAACCCTGCCGAGTTCTTCTTATGTTTTTTTTTTTTTTTTATGTTTCAGTTATCCTGGCTTCTCCAGGTCATACATGAGGCTTCTGCTTTCAGTTTAAAAAAGCAAGGTGCCATCAAAATGTGAATGCAAATTATGGATTTGGCTCTATTTCACATGGCGATCGCATTAAAATCAATACTTACCAACTAAACCCCTCACGTATAGACTCTTTTTAGACATTACCAAAAGCCAAATCAAACTTTAACCAATTTACTAAACCCGCCAGCCTCTAAAAATGTACTTTCACATCATCTTTTTTCCTGAAACCCTGTTCATTTTCCTCACTTTATTAATAAAAGCAAGGTTTTCTTAGACCTTTCCTTAGACCGTATACGCTATTATGGAAACAGCAAGAGGAGAGGAAGACGTCTTCTTGGATTGAGATGTTTTCTCAAATTAAGGTGACAAAAGAATTACAAAGACAAACAAGACAACATGCCTCTCAGGTGCTTTATTTGGCTCATTTGTCAGGTAAAGCCTTCCAAAAATACACACCCGCGGCCCATGTGCTTCTGCTGCAGGAGCGCTCTGCAGAGATTCATTCCCCTCCCTTCAAAACCCAAGGAATTTGAGGAGGACATCCTTGACACAGTGACTCATCTGATAAGAGAAATGTGTGATTAAGTGGAAAGCCTTCACACACAGCCACTCCTCATTTGATTAGGGAAAAAGTCTATGTTGCCAACGGGTATGGCCCTCGTTAAACAAATAAAAAGCATGATAAAAAGTCCCCTTGGGTTTATGGAGCAAGGGCAGTCTGGCTCTGGTAAAGCACGACGATCCTGTTTTAGTGTTTTCCTCTTTGGATACATCTATAACTGACCTCTATTCACCAGGGTTCATTTCGCAGCCTATCACAAACGTCTTAAAAAAACCTCCTGCCTCAATGAGACTTCATTCAGTACTGGCAGTACTGCAAACTCAGGGCCAAACTGCGCACATTCATTCGCCTTTAGAGATCCAAAGGCTCAAAAAGTTGTTTCACTACACCCTCCACCTACGTACTCACACCCCCACACACACACACACACCACACACACACACACCACACCCGCATGCACCATCGCTACTCAACCTTTGCAAACACAACACCTGTCTTTTGAATCGTATTGAGTCACAGTGCTGCAAAACTACTTATGAGTAATGATGCATCCAAAGGAAAATGTGAAATAAAAATATCACAAATTGGATCATAAAGTATGACGGAGGCTCAGAAGCCCATCTTTTGTAATAAATGTTCCTTTTAGGGTCCAGTCAAGAGGATGTTCTGACACCTTGTGTCGCACTTGGCAAATTTCAACTGGTTAAACACCAACTGTGTAAGGTCACAGAAAAAAAGAAAAAAACTAGAGAAGTGAGGGAAACAGTTGAAGACGTTTGCAGCTTCACTACATGCACCACAAGATACATTTCTGACGAGGAAAATTTATCATCTTTAGATGCATGTTTTTCAGTTTCGGTCCCAGTTATGGACTTCGTGTAGAAATTCTTAAAAAAAAAAAAACATTAAAATATAGCAAATTCAAAATGGAGAATATAGCGCCATTGTGAGGCCTGCTTTGCAGATTTCAACAGACTAACTGCCATCTACATAACCGTGTAGAAAACAATAATGTGAAAGCTGCTATAACAAAATAAAGAGGAAATCTTGTTTCCATTTTTCTTGAAGAAATTTCATAAACCACCTACCACTGATAGCTTATATGTAAAGCTGTTTAATCAGGTTTGTGGTTTTTAAATGTGTAATATGGTAAAAAAAAGAAAAACTGACAGATGCATTTGTACTACCACCAAGGAAGGTTTTGTAATATTTCCATTCGATGTGGACAGAGGCTCAATTCAACAAAGTATGTCGGCTTAACAAAAGGGCAAAACTGGTCTGGATGAATCCATTTGGAGAAATCTTGTTTACTCCCAAGTTGTAAAACCCGTGTTTACAACTTTTATGTCCCGGTATCCAGCAAATAAAACAAAGTCATGGCAACTAAAAATAACACACCCAGAGCAATCAGGTAGGTCATGATGTAATAGATCTTAACTTTAGAGCTCAGTCGTGGTTCCCTGCTTGAACTGCATCCTGTGTGAGCTTCTCCCTGTTCACATCTTCCTCATTTGAAAGATAGATCTATATTTAACCAATATTCAACTAGAGTTTGAAATATAGATGTTTGAATGCGGGATTGATTCTTTAAACAGGTTTCCCGCTTCCGATTGAATGGGCACTCAGATAATTAACTTGTTTTGTTGTAAGGTAGTAAAACTTTATTTTTTTATTCTTGTCAAACATGCATACCATCTATACAGCTGTGCCACCCTGAGAGTGAGCCACATCACCCAAATCAAAAACCGTCACTGGCAGCTCTTTTTAGAAAGTTTTATCTATTCTCATATATTTTAAGACTCTGTGCAACTGGAAATAACCTCATCGTTTGGCCAGACACGGTTCTGTAGCTGTGAGCTGCATCCTTGTGCCAGCCTGTCGGATCTCCCAGCCAACCCCCTGGTGTATCCAGCACCACTGTGGGCACATCTGGGTCATTTATCACTCTGGCGGTGCCCTCCTCAACTTGCCGAGTCCCAGTTATCTTGGCAGGGAGCTCATTATGTGCTAAGGCCAGCCTTGGAGCAACGGTTTCCTTGATTATGAGCCAGATGTCTGGGGAAGCATGGGAAAACAGAAGGAAGAGGGGTATGGAGAGACAGACTTAGCAGAAGAGAAGGAAACTATGGACTCATTTCCTTTTTCTTTATCTTTTCTTTGTCTGTTGGTGCCCCTTATGGCGCTTTGGGAATTGTTTGCTTTCACCTGTTTCCTATCCTGCCGTCCAAATGCATGTCAAGAGAAAAAGCAAACATGCATGGAAACTTCAAGCATTTTGTCATTTTTAATAAAATCAAGAGAATCAACAACCCAAGACATGACATCCTGACGCTGCTCCAGTGGAGGAACACAAAAAAAGCGCAAATCGGCAATGCAGGGAGAACAGATGTGCTACCTACAAAAACGTCGGTTCTCGCTCTGTTTACTCTCTAAACAGCCAGATTAGATTTCAAATAAGACAAGATAAAATGGAGAGAGGAAGTTAGAAAGTGACAGATGGAGATGAATAAAGGTGAGATGTTATCACTGCGGACTGTTGAGAAAACAAAACGTGCCCTGTTTGCCGGCGTAATGAGAACATAACGTCTGGGTTTTTCTTTCTTTCTTTTTTGGCAGCTTTGGTTTCTCAGTATAGCACAAAAACAGACTGATGAATGATGCTCCAGACATTAAACAGGGCTCTGGGTTCGTTGGTGTTAAGAAAAACCGTGACGTCTCTGCCAAGTCTGGTGTGTTAAACGTTGGCACGTGTGACATGTATTTCATTTTAAAATCTGTGTTTAAATGCTGAGCTTGACTTTGAGTTAATCCCTATTATAAAAAACAAACAAAAGAACCCACATGTGATCATGGCTTCATAAATGAAGTAATGTGTTTAACACTCATAAACTCAAAATGAGAATAATGAATGTTTTATCAAAAGGTAGAATATTTTCTCGCTCTACCTCATCAGACATAATCCACCCTTTTTTCGGACTTTCGCTGCAACAATCTTCCCAACAAAGTTGGACCTCTAATGTTTTAGAAGGCAATGGAGGAATTTGACACCGTAATTTAAGCATCAGAGACTCCTCCTTTCTCATTTGTCTCAATGAGCGCTGCAGACACACAGATTACGTTCAGCGTAACCAGCTGACGGCTTGATGGATGTCGGGCCAATTATCCTGCAGCAGAAGCATTCAGCTGTGAAATGATGTTCTCAGCTGCAAGTTCTGCTGCATAGTCCTTATTTAGCGAGCGTTCGTGAAGGCAAGGAAAACACGGTTTGTGTTCTTTACGGAGCAGGGAGTGTTTCAAGTCTGAATCAATTAATGCTTGCACTGTGCAATGTTGCCACATAATTCTTGGTGCAGTTGGAACTCTCCCTTGTTGGGGCCACAACAGAGTAAAGTTCACTTTTTTCCATGTTACAACTTCAGATTTAAATGGGTGTTGTTGGGATAAAACCAATTGTAATTGTGAATTGTGAATTGGAACACAAAGTGAAATCTTTTTTTTGATTATTTTGACAAAAATTCCAAATAGTGTGGCATGCATTTATCCTCATGCTCTAATCGTCCTCAGTTAAAACCTGTGAGAATCGACCTGCTGCTTTGGAAAGTCGCCAAACCAGATCTTTTACAGAACCAATGAAAAACTGGATAGAGCACCAGCACTGTCTTGGTGGAAAATCCTTTAAGAGGTCCCACTAACTAAAATAAAATCAGTTCTATTATCAGAGGTTTTGTAAACTACAATAGACCCAAGAGACAATCACCACAAATTAAAATTATTAAAATTTTTTATACCCAACAGTTCCGTAGAAGCACATTTTGAAGTCCTACATGATCATATCAACGTCTTTACAAAGCCATGACAGAGAAAAGGTTATTTTATGTTTCCATTTGTAATATAGGTAGATATTCAATGTATCCATTTCATTTTTGTCCTGGGTTGCAACCAACATACTCTGCTCAATACACAAAAGCATTTTCCTGCATGTTACACCATGAAAAAATTAAATTAAATTTTTTAAAAATCAGCAAACAAATTTCTTTACTTTTATAGTCGTGTTCACTTCACTATGCGCCTCTATGTCTATTCTTCAAAATTATGTTGAGCATCAGTTCAAACCCAACCCCTGCCATCAGCAACACATCTTTCATTAGGATAACTACAATATACTCTGCACACTTCTTTCCATTTCAGCAGCAGCCGAGCCGTTGTTTGATGACTTGGAAGACTCCTGCCAAGTCAGCACAATCCAGGAAACATCAAACTGGTGCAACCCTCATGGTGTCTTTCATCATAACTAAACGCATCACTGGCAAGGCCCCAAGTGTGTGTGTGTGTGTGTGCGTGTGTGTGTGTGTGTGTGTGTGTGTGTGTGTGTGTGTGTATGCAGGAACTATCTTGGAAGCACTGAAAACATTTTTTACGTGCAAAGTCACTTGCTCCCTGCTTTAAGGTTTCTTATTAAAGGTAGAACAAGTTCCTAATTTTAAACTTCATGAATAAGGAGTTTGAAAGACCACTCTGTGATTTTTACTTCAAGGAGTTATGAGTGGTTTTTATTGGATGTGCCTCGAACAAGAAAACAGAAAGATTGCCTCCCCGCTGCGTTGCGTCAGTCCGCAGCCATTTCAGATGGTGTTTGTATGAAGTCAGACGTGGCTTGCTGTTTCCTCTGACAAGTTTTAAACCTTCCCCAGAGTCCGGTGTCAACAGGCAGACCACACACTTCTGGGATCAATAAAGTGAGAGAGAATAATGACTAGCAGAGTTCGGAGATAAAAGTGGAGCTCCACACTGTTGGTTTCTAAAAACTGAGAGCAAAACGGACCAGGCAAATGAAAGAAAGATTGAGAGGATAATCATTTTTATGGGAAATACAGCAAAGTTAATTAAATAAATTGTGAGATGTGAAGCAGATTTGTGGGCTTGTTAATTGATCCAATATGGAGCCTGGAGTCTGAAAGTAAATCCCTAGTCAAACTTAAAAAACAGACATTTCCAAATATAACTGTTCCTCATTTTCACCGTTCCTTCTGTACTTTCTGAAATAAAACACAAGAACAAAAACTATTGGAAAGCTAAACATTTTCAAAACAAGAGGATATAAATAAAAAAGAATAAAAAAACAAAACCTAATTCAAAAGAGAATATTGGTTTAGGTATGATTGAAAAAAACCCACAGCACAATTGAACCCAAAGTGCATAACATTTCATCTATAGATTTTACAACAGCGATGCAACGTTACCCAGAACTTTTAACACTAATGGTTCTGATTGTTAACAGAAATCTCTTTCTTTATTGACCTGTTGCATCTACACCGAGTTAATTAGAAAGCTTGTTTAAAGTTAACTGTAAATATCCTCTTTGTTTTTGCTGAGTTTGTTGGGTCGCAATCCGTTTGAAAGTCAATTAAAGAGCAATTTAGGAATTGACAAGGCAGCGAGATGCTGCACGACCTCATTGGACTAAATACCACAAATGACTCTCCTGCTGGAATTGGCTTATCTTTCAGTACAAAGCAAAATTGGATTCCTCAGTTTCCTCAATCGACTAAGAATATGGGCTCATCCATCAATAAATGCATCCACCTTTTTGTGCACAAGACACTTTCTTCCTGCTGTTGTACAATAGTGTCAATGTAAACATCCACTGTCTTTCCATTGTCATTTTCATGTTTAGAATGTTGAACTTCTAGAAACAGACATATTGTGTCTGTTTACAAATGATTTTCCAGAACTGCTATGCAATGCTTTGCTACTTCTAGTCATTCACAGACAAACTTTTGCAACAGTAAAATTGTCGGAGGGGAAAAACAGTTAAACAGACACCAGTAGGTCACATAAGCCTGCTTGACCTCTTATGGTTTCTGTCACCATACACATTTAAGCTTGCTTAAGCGTGTGGACTGGAAAACAGCATAAAACCTCTTTACTCCAAGGCTAGAAATGAGGGATGAGTAAGATGAAAGGGTTAAGGATGATGGACAAGATGAGAAGGGGGTAAATATGAAATCTGAGAAGGATGAGCTGGATGGAGATGAATGAGGTATGGATTAGATGACAGGACCGGGCATTGGGCATGATGAGAGATGAGAAGACTTAAACGAGTGGTGATGAAGATGATTTGAGGGCAAAAGGCTTAAGATGAGAGAACAGTAGGAAGAATGAGGATCGAACTGGATAAATGGGGTGAGACAAATTAAGAACAATAAGGATGAATGAGATGAGGAGAGGTTGGTTTAAAGGATGAGGTAGATTGAGGGGAGCAGAATAAATAGAATAAGCAGCATGAAAACCCCTATGGATGATGGATTGATGAGGAGGAGGAATGAGGGTTGAGATGAACTGTGGATAATAATAAGAAATTAGAAATGAACAAGATGAGTGTGATTAGAATTAACTATTATCAGAGGAGGGGGAATCAAAGAAGAGAAATTGCCCAAGTTTCAAACTGCCCTGAATGAATTAACAGCCAAGTGGTCAAGATATGGTCCTGATTCTGACCCACAGCTGAGAATAGGACAGAAGTACTTAATGAAAATGTCTCCTATCTAGGTTGTGGTAAAAATAAAAAATAAAAAAAAGATTTCATTTGATTACGCATACTCACAGCACCAGTTCCCTGAAGACAGGTTCAAGCAGAGTTTGAATACATAAATGTATTTTATTTCCATACATTCATGCATGGAAATAAAATAAATAGGTAATGAAAGCGAGAAGCCCGGCTGTAATCACCATCTTTTATAATATTATATTTTATTCTGGCCCCTTGGTGGGATGGATCACGAATAGGAATTACTTTTGCAACAAGGGTTCTCCAGGTTTTCACATCTCATTTGTTTTTGCTTGAATTAAAAATAACTTATTGTTTTGTTTCCATCATAAAAAAAAAGGTGATTAATCCTTGGAGTGAGTTCTGTATTTGATTTTAAATGTAGTTTAAGAAATTACGATCCATTCTCATTTTTTATCATCAACAGAAAGTTGACTTCTGTAAATTGGGAACTAATATATGAAATGTTTTAGGTGCAAGATGTTTAGTAGTGACTGATTCCTGTGTTGTGACATGGTAGCATGACACCAGTATGAGATGTAAACTCCACCTACACACCTGAACAACGTAAGCTCGTTACACGTCACATTTACAGTAATGCTGGTAGGCAACATTAATAAGGCTTTGGGGGGAAAAAAAAAACTTCCCATGCATGCAGTTTCGAGCACAACTAGGTCAGAACAAGAGGGTTGCAAATTACTAAAATGTGGAAAGTTATTAAAGTGTTTTGACACTTTTCTCCTTTCTGTTTTGAGCACTTTGGGATTTTCTCCCTCGTAATGCGTAGTGAAACCTTGCTGACTGTCAGGAATTTATTGGCAAGGCCAATCTGAAACGCAATCATCTTTTCCTGCACAGAGTACACGCATACTCAATTTAAAAATGATTATTCCATTAAATAGCGGCTCATGTTGCTCCTTACCAAAGTGCTAATCACTGCGGTGCACGGCTGTCCAAGAGCGTCTTTCAACAGTTTGGGTTTGTCGCCATTCCCATGTCAACAGGGCGGTGTTTTCTCTGACAACGATAACGTCGGAGTATCCCATTGTTACAAAAAGCAACATGTTATTTTCCCATGATTATGGGAAATAACGGGGAGAAAGCAAACAAAAACATTTCATTAGGTTTTATACATTTATTTTTTTAATTTATTACAGCAGTGGATTGAGGAACTAAGAGTTCTCTAGAGTTGCACAAAGAAATTGATTTCTACAGGATATTAACTAGCATTTATAAGCATTGATAATGTGATTCATGCCTCTTTTTCAATTTTTGACCTAAACCAAGAGTGGATATAAATATATGTGAGGGTGTGCTCAAAGAAAATGTATTTTCTTTCCCATATTTATTTATTTTGTTTCGCCTTTTCGTTTCTCTTTCAGAAAAAGAACCTCAGTGTTTTGCTGAGTCTCTGCACGCTGGCCTGCTGGGGAGTCATTTTGCTGTCAGTCCGCCTCTACTGGATGGGAAACAAGCCTCCAAACTTCTCCAACTCAGACAACCCGGCAGCCGACTCTCCACATTTTCTCACTCGAACGCTAACATTCCTCCACTTGCCTGCAGCCAATGCCTGGCTCCTGCTCTGCCCGGACAAGCTGAGCTTTGACTGGTCCATGGACGCCGTGCCCTTGGTCAGGTCCTGGGCCGACTGGAGGAACCTTCACACTGCTGCCTTTTACTGCGGGTTGAGCCTCCTGGCTTTGTTTGGCTTCCGCGGTGCCACTGTCGCAGCGAAGGAGACCAACGGGAAATCCCATCTAACAAATGGAAAATTGGTCACGAATGGAAATGGTTACCATGCCCCTGACACAAACCAAAACACGGATCTGCCAAAACCCACTCTCAATGGGTCTGCTGTACCTCACCGCTGTTACTCCCACACATCCCTGCCCCCCACAGAAAGCTTAGTTGTGTTTTCACTGGGAATCCTGGCATTGCCTTTCATCCCAGCCACCAACTTATTCTTTTATGTGGGTTTTGTGATTGCAGAGAGGGTACTTTACATCCCCAGCATAGGCTATTGCATACTAGTTGCGACAGGTGCACGGACGCTGTATGTTAGACTGAGGACAAGAGCCTGCAAGGCTGCATTGTTGTGTCTTTGCATTGGACTCGTGCTACTGAACGGGCTCAAAACAGTTCAAAGGAACAAAGACTGGAGCAACGAAGAAAATCTTTACAAGTCTGGGATCCATGTGAACCCTGCAAAAGGTGAGAAGGTCTTCTGGTAAGGTAAGGTATCTGACACCTCATAGGTGTCAGGCACCTAACCCTTACAAAAATGTCTATTTTCTTTTACCATTTTCACGTTCTGTACCACTGCAATCACAAATCTACTTGTATTTTATTGGTACTTCATTCTGAAGACTAGCACAAAGTTAATTTGAAAGTAGAAGCAAAAGCAAAAGCCTGTCCTGCCAATGGGCCGACCTCTTTCACCTTGTGGATGGTGATGTGCAGAGTTAGCTCTGTGGCACACAATGTTTTGCATGTACGCTAAAATCTTACACAGTAGTCTCATCTGAGCAGAACCCTTTCTACTGCATGTTTGCTTTGACCCAATATGGCTTATCACAGAAATTTGTGTATGTTTTCCTTTCAATTCACGCTACTTTGTGTTGATCTGTCATATAAAATCCATTGAAATTACATGAGTGACAAGGCATGAAGTGTTTCTGCACTGTTTCTGCACTGTGCATGAAGTGTTTCTGCAGTGCTTCTGCACTGCCGTGCAGAAGCACTGCACGGCAGTGTAAATGAGTCCAATCTGAAGTTGGAAAGTTTTCAGCAGAGACCAAGAGTTTGTGTTCTCATTTTGTGAGCATTGATTGACATATGTCTCCTGTAGCCTGGGGAAACCTGGGAAACGTACTGAAGAACCAGGGCAATATGGCGGAGGCGGAGAAGGCATACCGAAATGCTCTTCACTACCGAGGGAACATGGCTGACATGCTGTATAACCTGTGAGTGTTCAAAAAATGTCACATCTCCTCTCTTGGCAGAGTCTCGACACAAATAAGCTCTGATTCTGTGAGTAAGTGGCAACATCAGACCAAGAACCGCAGAATAAAAGAAAGGCAGAAAGAACTTCAAGGCTGCAAACTAAAATAGATCCAGTGCAGGAGTATTAGAGCTGGCGAGACACACAGCAAGAGTGTGACAGACAGGAAATAAATTTTGTGTGTCCCTCGAGGCTCTTTGTACCTTGTGTTCCTGATTTGATCAGTCGTGTTTGCAGAGCCTGTGGGAGAGCAAGAAACAATTTCTAATCCAGCAGGCGTCAAACGTGCCGAACCACGCGACGGATCATCGTGGTTCTGCTCCCGTTTCTCTTCTCCTCTAAAGTTGTGGGCATCAATAAGCTGCCAATTCAACAAAAAGCAAATGTATCATGTCGTTCTAAGAGATAGAGAAGTTATTTGTGCGTGATAGATGTTAGGATATATTGTACTGCCATGGTCTTTGTGAATATTTTGCTTCCAAAATTCCACTTATCTTTTTTTAGAAACTGTCAATTAAATTGGAGAAAACCTGTGAAACAGTTTGCAGTGATGTAAAGTTTTCATACTTTTCTGTTTTCCATCAGGGGTTTGCTGCTGCAGGAGAACGAACGTTTCTCCGAGGCGCTGCAGTATTACAAGCTCGCCATTGGGAGTCGACCAACTCTGGCATGTAAGCCGAGTCTCCTTTTGCTGCTGCCATGATATTGTAAAAACATACAAGGAAAGGCAGATCATCGATAAATGACCTCCCTCCCGTTTGGTTTGAATTTGTCAGGATTGATTACATGCCAGCCAGTAGTCTCTTATGAAACGCCGTAATTCTCCAGTTTTAAAGTTGAATCGGTCGCTTTGTGGCCACGGCGTGATTTAAAAGCCCTCATTCAGCTTGACGGAGAAGTGATAACGTTCAATCTCACACCCCAGTGCTCACATGTGAGACGATCGTTTGTCTTTTACTTTACCAAGGGCGACGTTAAATAAAAAGAGAAATTTCCCTTCAGCACATTCAGTGTGATGAATTACCTTTGAATCTTTGTGAGCTTTATCTCTTCTAGGTGAATGCATTTCTATTCCCCACTTTTCCTATATTTATTTAATCAGCTTTTCGATCTCTTCCTCTCTTCTCTGTCACCATATTATTGCTTTCATCATAATACTTCACTTTTTGATTGCATTGGCATTTTTAAGAAATTATTTTTATTGTGCTTCGTTACACTTGTTTTTATAATTTGTATAACTTAAATAGAGGGCTTTGTTTGAGAAAACTGCTATGTAAATAACATGTACTTTCTATCTTCGTTTCTCCTTCAGTCCAATTTCTTTTGCTCTTTAGAAATGCCAGGATATAGTTTATGTTTGTTTTGGTAAAAAAATTCTGGAAAAACATGCTTTCTTTACTTTTTCATGGCAACAGATAAGGTGGTTCATTTTAAAGAACGTTTGTTTCAGAAATCATTTTAATTTTGTGCTTCTATTTAACTTAACCCTTGCGGTCTCTTGATATTTACTCGCAGCGGCTTACTTGAACACAGGAATAATCCTCATGAACCAGGGCAACGTGGAGGAGGCCAAGCGCACCTTCCTCACTTGTGCTGACATTCCAGATGAAAACTTGAAGGATCCTCACGCCCACAAGAGCTCAGTCACCAGCTGCCTGTATAACCTGGGGAAGCTGCTTCATGAGCACGGCCAGCAGGAGGTCAGCCTCGTTGATGCGTTTGTATTCAACGGCACCGACAAGACTAGAAGCAGAACTGCTAAAAACATAAATCATTTTTGCATCATGCAAAATGAAGTCTCAGCTTTTAAATTGCTTTTTTCCCCCTGTGTGCTGCAGGAGGCTCTGTATATTTATAAAGAAGCAGTGCAGAAAATGCCAAAACAGTTTGCACCACACAGCCTTTTCAACATGATGGGTGAGTTACAGTCGGATCCCTTTAAATGTGGAGTCTGTTTGCAGTCCGGTGTGTAAAGGGTTGAAATTGCACATTAACTACAACAGGGATTATTGCTTTAAAATGAGAACTGCAGCAGTTTAAGGTGGAACTGCTCCAGTTTATGCGCGCTATAGAATTAAAACATACAGTAAAACAAATCGACTGGACTCAACGCCGATTAAAATATGTGGACACACTTTTTTACCATTTTTTTCTTCCTTTAGATGATGATTTAGGAAGACCTGTGTTAAACCTCGCTTCCTCTTCTGTGTTATTCTAACACTAATTACATTACTCAAAGCTCATTCTGATGACATAGTTGAGATTTCATGGGAATTAAAATCCGGGGACAGAGTAGAGAAGGATTAAGGAGTGTGTTTAGTCAGGTGGTTTGAAGGTTTTAGGGAGCGACAGTATTTGTATTAGTGCAACGATGGCCGACGGATACTTTTTCAAAACTTGATGTCATTTAACTGGTTTGTTGTTACAGGCACCGACTGCGTATCTTTCTTGGGGTCCATCCCTCCTGCAGGTTCTTTGGATTTGTGTACAAAAATGTTAATGCTAGAAATTCTTAAACGGGGTAGTTTTATGGTAAGGATCAGGTAACTTAGCATATTGAGTGAATATGTAAGATGCCCCAAAAACCACTTCCATCTTCTAAAAACAACTTTTTAAAAACTTTGTTTTTCTTCTAGAAATAATATTTATGTTAAACACTTAAAATGCTGACTGTATGCCCCGGTGTGTGATGTGTTTCAGGAGAGGCCTATATGCGGCTCAACAGGCTGGAGGAGGCTGGTTACTGGTACAGAGAATCCCTCAAAGCCAAGCCTGACCACATCCCTGCCCACCTCACCTACGGCAAACTATTGTCAATCATTGTATGTCCCTTTGCAGACACACAAACGTACACCAGCAATGCAGATGTACTAAACATTATGATTAATAAGGCCAAGGGTTTGTTACTTTAACAAACTGCTTTAGTAGAACTGTATAATTGTACGTTGACATTTCTTTGGGAGTTAAGGGAGTCCAGATAAGAAATGATTATTTGTAACTGAATATGTTCTTAGTGTTATTTTTGCAACAATGTTTGTTAAAAGACATCCCAGACAAAATAGCTAAACTTGGAGCGGTAATGTTATGCTGTGCAGAAAAAAAGATCTCATTTCCTCAGCTTCCAGCTTCTCTGCAACTCTACGACAACAAAAGCAGACGTGACGACAGATGTGTTCACAGCTGAGCTGGGTTTAGATTGGGGGAAATGAACTGTTTGCCCTTTTCGACCTCCTCCCACTCCATCCCCTAAGATGCACGACCTCCTTCCTTCCTCAGCCCTAGGTGCAGAGTCGAAGACACGACAAACCTCTGAGGCTGCGTGCAGACTGTTGCGTACTTGCAGCTGTGATCTTTCAGGCCTCGATCCCACAACTCTGTTGTTGTATGAAATCTGAGGACAATGAAAACTTGTACTTACACATGTACTTACACATGTGTCGCCTCGAGTGGCTGGACATCTGCTTGGGTTTCGGATACTCAGGGCGACAGAATCACCTGATGATTCTGTCGACCAGAATCCTAACACACACCCACATCCTCCGCTACGCAGAATGAGAAACAATAGGATGGATGAATCCTCAGTAAAACACCAGCTGACAGGCTCATAATAGAATTACTCCATTTCCTTATTAAATCACTTCGGTTTTGGCTGTAAACTCTCCGTCAATCAATGACTCTGTTAGCGTTGGGAAAGTTCCACCCTGGACAGGGTTTCCAAGAGTACAATCCCGTTTTTATCACCTATCAAGCGTCAGCAGAGACTGTAACTCCCAGAAGTGTTTTTTTTTTTTTGCCGAGGTCAGGATGTCTAATGTCACACTCGAGTTCTGGTATTTTGGGGTCCATGTAAGGTGAGCAGTTTAATTGATGGTGGTCAGCCAGCATTAAGCTAATGAAAGATATAAATGGTGAAGTCATTGAGACGCCCTACTTAGTCATTGAATTCAGATGATGCAATCTCTTCCTTGTCCACAAGTGGGCCATTTGTCTGCTTACACATACATTTGTCAACCTAACGAATTTATCATCAAATTCCCAGAAATTGTCATTACAAAAGCTTTCTTTCTGCTTCGACACAAGCCTGAAAATATCCCGAAAGACGATCTTCGGTTTTCATAGACAGTCGGAGGAGAAATGTAGAGAAAGCAGCCAACAGAAATGTGAAATAGGCTATCCATGCCTAATATTCCTCCCCATGCATTTAGACCAAGTTCAGACATGGGAGGAAGCTAATGAGGCAGTGTTAATATGGACGGCCCTCTCATTTCCTACTGAATGGCAACCCCACTGGCAATATGGAAGCAATCAGTGCTGAAGCATGAAGCAGAAGTGCTGCAGAGGAAGCTTTTCTTCTCTCAGTATCAATGCTACTCCACACATGTAAACACAGATTTTGTTTTTTAACCCTTGCTAAAAATGCACAATTAGAACTAAATGACATAATAATTAATGGTTTTGTTAGAATGCTGATAATTTAAGCTCCTCTCTCCCCCCACCACCAGAAAATAAGCCTAATTATACAAAATATGCACAAATATGAAATGTAATATATGTTTTGCTCTATCCTCCTCCTAATTATACCAAAACGGAAACATCGAAGCTTAATTACTCGCCGTAACTTGTCTGTGTTTCTCTATCCAGGGGGAGAAAACTGAAGCAGAGAAATACTACATGAGAGCAATTCAGCTCGATCCAATGAAAGGAAACTGTTACATGCACTACGGTAAGAAGCAGAAAACGTGTATTCATAAACACAGTGAACCTCTTTTCAGAAAGAGGTTCAAAAGAAGATGTGTCGCTCATCACATTTCCAAAAATATCTGCAGTTTTCTCAGTAGTTGACAGCACATTGTTTTTAACGTGATGAACAAATCTACAGTCAGATTTCTCTATGTTAAAAGCTATTGTTTTAAAATGTACAAAAGGTCACTGCACTACTTTTTTCCAGAAGATTTAACAGTTTGTTCCATTATTTGTAAGACTAACCCTAATAGTTACAAAATGTCATGATTTTCTCGGGGCCTTGGCTTTTTATCTGGCCACTGATGATTTCATTCTGCCTGTAATTCTGCCTCCAAAGAAACTGATAGTCTAGAAGTTTCCAATTTGTTTTAGGCTTTTTTGTTGTGATCTACAGCTGATTTGTTTGTTTGGATTTCCACTCTTTAAATGTACTCTCTGAGAGGAGTTTAGTGGTAAAGTCATGTCACATCCTGGTTGCAAATTGACATGCCCTTCTTTGATTTGAACACGAGAGCTTATAAAAGCAAACCGAATTAAAATGGGGATTAAAAGAGTGACATTTTCCCTGCTTTTGAAGAGGAGGTTGGATTACAATCCAACAGGAGTGAGGGGATGTTATTGATTGAATTCAAGGTTTATCTGCAGACCCTTTACAGCTAACAACACAAAATACGCCAAGTTGATGCTCGCAGCTATTAAAGTGTGAGCTGTTTGAAGTTTTGCAGACAGCGCGGACTCCTGTGGAGATACAGCGTTTACTATACATTACAGAAAGAAAACGTGGCACGGTGTTGCCCCTCCGCTTCCGTTTCATTCCAGACTGGAGAAGCAGCCTCCTTTGGTGCTCCACGTTAATATCTCCAGGATATTCAGAGGAAATGAAAACCATCCTCATGCTGAAAGCCCCGTTGTGCAATGCCCTCTTTCTCCACTTCCTTATCTCCTATTGTCCTTCCTGCTTCTTCCCCTCATCTGATATATTTTCGTTTAGCTTGGTCGGCAGCAGGAGGTCTGTTGCTGTCTTTGGAGCAAGTTGTTTCCTGCTCCGAAGCCCTCTGTTTTTCCTTCACCATTATCTTGTAGTCTCTTGCTAAAGGTGCTGTTTTTTGTGGGCTGCTTCCTTTCTCTATCTACAATCTGTCTGCTGCAGTTATCGTGGATTTGCTGGATGAGCCTCAAGTATGAGTTTGTAAGGGAGTGTCGATATCAGTCCACAGAGTGCCTCGAAAGATAAATACGCGGACGTGCATGTGGGAGTGCACTCAAACGCTGCAGACAAAAGCGCCTCTCGTCGGTCACCGTGCCCTGCAACACTTTAAATAACCCCAGCGTGGGCCGCTTTCGTTCAAATCCACTCAGAAGGCAAAGCAAGAAGCCTCTTCTGAGCCGCCGCACATCCCCGCCCGCTTTTATTTGGCAACATCTGTCGTCAGGCTCCACTGATATTCTACGGGCAGTTTGTGAAAGCCTCACCAGGTGGCGAGGCTCCCCCAGGAGAGCGCATGAATTACCTCCATCTCATCTTTATTCTGGAACAACAGAGAACAAAGCAATCACAGCCCCACGTTTTCAGTCCTGTCTCTTGTTTTTCTCTTCCTGTCCTTCAAAGTTGCCAATCATCTGGTGTCCGTCTCCAAAAGCCCCCTCTTGTTGGTTTACTTTGACAAGTAACTCCCATCACACCAAAGCAGCATGGAATGAAATGGTAATTGAAAGCCCCCCCCAAGAAAAGTAATTCAAAGAAAAATCCCAATGGCTTCAGAAAAAGAGGTTCTTTTTGCTTGGCAGCTGAAAGAAGCTTCAAACCTCATAACTGTTGAGATTATATTAGTGCATGTTATGCCCTTAATAACAAAGCTGTATTGTTTTTGGAGGAAATTCACAGTGGTGTGAACAGAAGTTGCTCGTACTTTATTCAGCATATTAGCTCTCTTCCTTGTTTTTCCTAATTCTTCGTAATTTTCAGCAAAAGTTATCAAACATTTTGACTCAGTTACTATACTTATTTGCCTGAATTTGTGGAAATTCGAAACGGTCTTGTTTTTTTTTTTTTTTTTTTTGTCAGCAAGATTACAAAAAAAATGTACCGATATGGTAAAAGTTGTCTGTAAAAATGTTGGTTTAAGTAGATTTGGTTAGGAAAATGTGATGCATAGCAACTTTTCAGAATATAGAATTTTTGATATAAGCCTAATGGTTGCAAAATAAGGAGAAAAGGCCTCTTAAAATACATAGTTTTGAACAGTACTGCAGCCGAAATGCACTCAACAAAGGCAGTGTGATCAAATTATAGGTGTTAGGTTCAGAGCAGCATATTGGAGACACCTTTAAAAGTAAACCAATCATCAAGGAAGCATGACCTCAATTATGGGTTTTAACTCATATCTGTCGATTATTTATTCTATATTTTCTAAGTCTACCCTCTGTTCTGTTGACATCATGCTGATTAAGGCTGAATAGAAACAAAAGAGATCATTTGTTTGCCTCCAGGTCAGTTCCTGTTGGAGCAGTCTCGTCCTAAGGAAGCGGCGGAGATGGCCGAGAGAGCCGCCGAGCTGGACATGGATGAATTCGACGTGGTCTTCAACGCTGCTCACATGCTCAGGTCGGCCGCAGCTGCTTGTAAACAGAAAGATTCAAACAACATTTCATCGAAACGTGCCTCGATGAATGGCAGCACGTTTCCAGAAATGCCTTGGGATTCCATATCTGTTCCCAGCTCCTTTAGCATTTATGGTTTGATTCCATTGCTGTGTTTTTAACGGGATCGTTTAAAAATAAAAGTCATTCGATAAACATAGGCTGAAAAGATCTATGCAGTTTCAGTCCATCTTAATGAGGTTTTACCCCGGGGCTTATAAAGGGAGCCGCTGGAGAATTTTCCTTCATAAGTCTGGCAAGTGCATCTGCAGGCAACTTATAAATCCTAAAGAGTGTCAAAAGGGACTTCACACAACCTCCCTCTCCCAGCATCTCCGCAGCTCAATGGAATATTGGAATGATGAGCCTTAATTCTTTTCTGCTCGACATATCTGCTGAAGTCATTACTGCCTGCCGGCATCCCCTCTCAGAGAACCGGCACAGAGGATCTGTAACAAGTCGGCGTTCTCCGAGCTTGGCTGTGGTTTGCCGCTGAAAGCACGGGAGTATATCTAGATGACAGATTAGCCTGCCGTGTTCCGGCCGACTGCTTCTTTCAGCCGCGAGGCTCCATGACATCAATCCAAAGTGATTAGGGTTTAATGATGTGACAAACACCTGCTAACGCTAACACGCGTTGTGGAGACGAGCTGCAAGTCTCGGCTCGTGCAGATTTTTATCCAAAGTCGTTAACAAAACTGGAACACCCAACGAAAGCCGATATGTCTTAATAACATATTTGAACTAAAATGAGAAATTCAAGCAACACGAATGAACAATGAAAGCAGTAGAAACGGGTTTAGATGTTCTCGAAAATGCAATAAAAGTGCAGAGGTACAATAAAAAACACATTTATCCCTTCTTATAACTGCAAAAAAGAGTCACAGTGGCATGCGACTGAAAGATCACTTGTTAGCATTTTAATGAGCTTTGTCTAGTTAAAAACTTAACTTATTTTAGTGTGCTGTCAAAGCTTTTGGGACACATTATTGTAAGATCGAAGGAGCTGTCTGAGACCTTCAAAAAGAACATTGTAGCATTGAAGGGAAATATGCAAGAAGGAAAACTTTCCCTCGAAGGAAATCTTGAGTTCAAAGACTAAATTTTTTCCCAGAGAGAAGACCAGAGCTTCTGGAATAATGTTCTTTGAACAGATTTGTCTAAAACTACAGTTTTTTTTTTTTCACCCTAATCCAGGACATGTGTCATAAACCAGGACATGTGTCATAAACCATCATGGGAAAAGAAACTCATATCAACTGTGAAGCATGGAGGTGAACTTGTCATGGTTTCTAGTTTCTTTGTGGGAAGAACCGGCTGAAAACTTGGAAAAAATGTGCAGAAAGTCCTAAGCAGAGGAAAAGCCCAGACCTCGATCTTCCTCAGGACGATTCGAAATGTGTCATTCATGAAAGAAAATCATATAATTGAAAGCAAGGACTGGGGTAAAATGTTCATCTGACTCATATCTTTGCTAAACCAGGGGACAATAACTATTAGAGTTTCATTGGATATCTATACATAAATAAATAAAAAATTCAAAAATTTCTTTTCCAGAGATATAAATCAGATTGCACACTAATATGGAACATTTCCAAGAGTGAAAAATTATTTCAGATGGCTACATTTACTTCAGTCTTCCTGAGTCCATGTGCTCTATTAAGGTTTCTGGGATTCCCCAAAAACAAAACAGAAGGAAGAAGCAAAAACGTTGAGAGTTTGAACCCAAGCGAACTCAAGAAGCTTAAGCCATGTTTTGCTTATGTCGCAGCTTTATGAATATAAATTGCATTGCCAGGGAGGTTTTTTTTTTCCTTTTTTTCCACTTTATTAGTTTTGGCGACGCGGACTCTTCGTGTATTCTTGAATGTTTTTCTACGTATGGAACGCATGAACTGTTGCAGACTAATGTATCCGGCTGTGACATGTGAGGGAGGAACTCACTGATGTTTCAAGGCTTTTTGGCTCCGGTTGCCTCTTTACATCCGTGGGACCAGAGTGAATGCTGACCAACTCCAGAGTTATTAACAAGTGTTGCAGCACAAAATGCTTAATGCTTCATTTCATCACAATCTCCCTTACTGAAGTTCAAGAACGCAATTTTCTGATCACTTTATTGAAGCCAAAAACTATTTCACTGCTTCATTACATATTATTTCTATGTTAAGGTCAATATTTAGAGAATTACACTTTTTATATAGCGGTTTCTGCCTTTCCACACGTTCATATTCAGATATTTTATGGTCTTTGGAAGCCCACTAAGTGATTAAGTTTATAAAAGCTGGGTGACTGGCAAGGGATACCCTGTACCGGCTTTGTATTGATAAATATTAGAACTTTTAAATGTTTTTCAAATCAATAAATCTTCTCTTTTGTTAATTAACCTACTTTATTAATAAATTTTTACTGATCAACACATTTTTGCTAAGTCTTTTGCAGGTGGAGGTGTCCCACGGAGCATGTTTGCGTGTCCCAAACATGCTCTCGTAATGCACTGTATGTAGTCTGCAGTGTGTAATTCAATGCATGAAGCAAGTTGGCTGAAGCTAAGAGCTGACAACTAGCAACTTTAGGGCATAAAGAGAGGAGGAGGAGAATCGCAGCTTCTGCCTGATGATCCAAGTGCAAACGCTGAAAAGGTTCACAGTGTACCAGAGGAGAAATATGCTCCAGAAAAACGCCCTGTGTCGTATCTCAGATGTATTCGTTCTGTTTCTTAGATTTGTGAAATCGATATAGCAACACCGTTTATCTCATGCAACTCAGAGTTGTTGGGATGAAAGAAGATGAACACAAGGCGGATTTTTGAAAAAAATAAAATAAAAAAGACTTGAGCTTGAGTCTGGAACAGTTGCAGAGCTACACAATAATTTAGATGAAAGCATATTCATTTGTCAGGATGGTTCAGACCTAAATTCAGCAGTGATTATGTATAGATGTGCAAAAAGTAGAGCAAAGCGATCTCAAGGTGAAATATGGCGCTACAATGATTCATGGAAAGTATAATTTTCTTTTCACTTTTCAAGTAAGCAGTACTTTTGTTGTTGTTGTTGTAAATTCCAATAAAATACATCAAGATTTCCAACTGTAACATAACAAAATGTGCAGCAGCTCAACTTGATTTAAAAATAAAACGATTCTTATGTAGATTATAACCAGTATGCATTTTCTGGCTGCTGTTTTGCTTTCAGAGCAGCAATAGGAGTCAATTTTGACCAACTCTATTTCAGTTGCACAACGTAGAGCAGAAAATATACTGTGTGTTGTTTGCGTGACAAGTATTGCATGAATCCTACAAAATAACATGAGGCCGGGGTTACGGGTATTTTTGACAGTCTGTGTTCTTCTTCCTCCTCAGACAGGCCAATCTAAACGAAGCAGCGGAGCGGCAGTATAAACGTGCAGCCAGCCTCAGACCAGATGTAAGTACCCGGGCCTGTTTGCACTTATTATGGAACTGCTGCGCACACGTCTGCTCTGTAAATTCAATTTACAACACCGTGCACTTTTTCCCCCTGCCCGCTCCCCACCCCTCATCTCTCTGACATCGTGGTGCTGTTGTTCCAATAAGCCTGAGCAGAAAATAGAAACTGCTTATTTCTGCGAGATGTCGTCCGGATGCGCTTCAGCGACCACGACAGCAGAGCGCGCGAGAGAGACGAGTTTAACGGTTATTGCCGTCCGACGTCGAAGTAAACACTCAATCAGGTCAAACAGGCAGAGGAGCCTTCAGGGGGGTCTGGGGGGTGGGTGATATCACGTCTCTTGATGTCCGCACAAATGGCTCAGGAAGTTTGGAGATATTACATCCTGTTTCTGTCTTGTGCACATCAGTCACTTCAAAGACGGAGGGTGTGTGGAGGTGCGCTGGAGGAGAATTCATTTAAAATCGGGGGAACGAGGCCTGGGGGGAGGGGGGAGCGTCTCGCTGTGATTTGTTATGGTCGTCTGGTTTGCGATTATAGGCTCTGTAACTTATGCACCGTTACAGTGAAAGAAAGCTTTGACCTTCATGTCTCCACTGCATTAACCAGTTTTATATAGCTGCACTCTTTGAAGCTGTCTCTTCAAACCTTCCTTGTCGGTAGTTTCCCTCCAACCATTCCTCTCAGATTAGTATAAGTGCACCAGATGCCCCTTAAATGATATTTTGGATTATTTCACCCTGTTAAAAACTTCAATGTATAGTTTTGGGGTTCTTTAAATAATCTTATTGTGTAAGTAAACTTAGCCCTATTTAGGGTTCACACGTCTGCATTTTCCCAAATAAAAATCAAATTCATTTTATTATTATTATTACTTTTATTTTTTTCATCTGTTGAAAACAAGTGGTCTGAAACCTATTGGAATGCAGCCTGAAATCCCTCATGGACACTCTGAGACACGTAGAGGGCTTCTCCCGTCATTTGTCAGGATGAGGGGGGAAGTTTGTCTCTGACATTTTTCCCTGCACACATACTGCCTGGTGAGCGACAGACTCTCAAATATCAGCTTAATCCAATAGGTTTCAGGTCATGAAAGATTCAGCAGTTGCTGTACGTGCAAAGAAAAGGTAATGAATACTGGAGTGATTTTTCCCCACTGGAAAGGTTTATGTACCCAGACATATTAAGCAAGGTCTGGATACTTGGCTCATGTTTTGATCTTTGGCGACTACAGTATGTTCATTTAATATATTCAGGGTGGGTGATTACATAATATAGCCATGTCCCTCCACTCGGTAACATCAGCATGATGCTACCTCTGCCGTCCGGGTTTCAGCCTCGTAATTGTTGCTTTGAGGTCAAGTTGAACAATTTGGACATCATCCTTTTTCTCTACTGGTCCGTCTATTTTCTGTATTACACTGGTAACGCTGTGCAAACAGTCCAACAGCATGATGATACCACCACTGTTTGGTCTTAAGTGACACAACGTATAGAGGAGTCAAACTGAGGCTCCTTGACTACAAAACTTTTTTTCCAGAAGACATCCGACTCGTTCAAGTTCTGCGTATATCAATCAGGCCTGCAGGTGTTGATTTTAGATCAGGAGCTTAATTTCTGTTCTGCTCTCTTGTGAATCTGTGGCCATGTAAAATTGGCTTCTCTGACTGGCAAACGCTAAGCTTCTGGAAAGGCTCTCCAAAAGCCTCAACCCGCCCTCCGGTTGAAAATGTGCAGAAATGACGGATCTGTGCCAAGAAGCCAAACAATTATAATCAGAACTTCACACCATTTTGGCTTAGTTGACAAAGTGCTTCACTAAATGGAAACTCCTCTTAAAAATCTGTAAAGCATCATGTAATGTCCAGTGAAAAACACTTAAGGACTTAAATCCTGCAAAACAAGAAAATCTGACTTCTTTGAAGCTCTATTTAAAGAAAAGGAGGGAAACTAATGTCTGTGAAGTTCTGTATATATGTAATATTTCAATACAAGTTCTCTGGATGTCCAGGTTTGTGCTGTTTACAGAGGCAGAGGAATCCACGTTTATCTGAATAAGTGCAGTTTGTCTCACCTGTGTAAACGAGTGCCGCGAGGAACATTAAACAGAACAAAGTTCAGGAGAGCTCTCACACTCAACTCCTGCGAGTTGAGGAGAAACCAATGGCTGCTAGCTTGTTTGTTACGGTCGGGTGTGAAAAACAAGGTTTCGGGATCAGTCAGGTGGGGGAGGGGAAGTGCAACGTTAACCGGTGACACGCACTATTTGAGAAGAGACCAACTGTTGTGCTTGAGAAGGAAAATGTGTGAACTAGTTGCCAAATTTCGACCCGTGCGTCATGCTGCGAGTGTGTAGGGGCCTGGGAGCAAAGCCAGATCTGTGTAGTAGGAGAGTTGCGTGTATTTATCAGCCACATTTGTTAAGGACTTTGTAGATTCTCGGTGTTCATTCACCGTTTAAAACCCAAGGGATTTATTCTGCAACCTAAAATATATACTGTAGCTCATATATAAATATTGAGCTCCAGCTCATGCAGAGCCACTCCTGTTACTGTGATATTTCACCATGGCCAACACTGAACATCTTGAATTATTTTACTCTTAAGTAAATTTCACCGCTGCTAACATATGACAAACAAAAGCTTGTTTTCTTCAAAACAATAAAAACCCAAATTTTCTTTTGTGAAATCTCTTACAGCTGCTGATGTGACCCCCCTCACCTCCCAAAATAATAAAAAAAAATGCTGCCACATGTGAGGAATTTGTCTCCTACAAAATGTCTGGCCAGGTTCCTAAAACATGTATCTCTGATAAATAGCTGTGTCAAGCGTAGACTTAAGAAGGTCAGGTTTAAAATAGTTTGCCCAAATAAGGATACCGAGTTCAGCAATCCTCAAACGCAACGCCTCACATCGCTCATCATTTCTAAGGCAGTAACTTTGTCTCTTGTGATGATCCATCCTCCCCCTCCTCCTCCTCCAGTATCCAGCTGCTCTGATGAACCTTGGCGCCATCCTTCACCTGAACGGGAAGCTTCCCGAGGCGGAGGCCAACTACCTACGAGCCCTTCAACTAAAACCTGACGACGCCATTACTCAGTCCAACCTGCGCAAGCTGTGGAACATCATGGAGCGACAGGGGCTCAAGACGAAGCAGAGAGAGGAGCCCTAAACCCAGAAGGATGCCGTCTCCTTTCTTTGCGGCGCTCGAAGCGTGGAGCGGGACGGAAACAAAATGCTCAGTCGAGTTCGGGGACGGTCGACGTTGGTATGAATGAAGTTTGATGGGAAACTTCTGCATTACACCGCAGTGTTCATTTGGTGGCTCAGACTACTAAAATTAAATCTAATGGTTCTTTTACCATAAATGTGACACAGCTCTTGTTAAAGGACACAAAAACGGGGAGATGCACCGAGAAATTGGCGAGGGACTAGCTCCGACCAGTGGTGTCAAAAACTCACGAATGCTTTCTTTTCTTCCAGCAGTAACCAAGCAGGCACTAACAACAGCACAGGTTGGAATCTGTCGCTGTGGGAATTAGGGAGGCATCAGAGGAAGCCGTATCAAAGGGAAGAGAGAGACCTCGGCAGATACCAGATGGACTGGGGTACAAACATAGACGGCCTCTTTGAAATCTCAGAGTTACAGCAAAATCCATTCTCCAGGACAGTGGTTCTCAATCTTTTTCACCTCAGTACATTCTAGCTTTCTGAGTACCTCCATGATCATTGACATTTTTAAACCAGTAACACAACAAGACTCGGACTTTCTTGGTTCCTTAATTTTTTCTTCTAAATATAATACAATACTTGAACAACTGGTAATAAACAGTTTATTTGCACTTCTGACAGTATCTCACAATCACATTAAGAATTGCCCACATTCTACCGTACAGTGCTTCTTTTAATTAAAGTTAATAAAATGCCAAGATTTACATATCAGTTCATATTTCTTATCACTGAGCACTGCAGTTAGAGTCAATATCTTTCTCTAATCCATGTTCCAGAGTGAAAAATAGTGAGGCATAAAGCACCTAAGAATAAAGCAATATGTCAGATATTCCAACATCAAAAACTGACATACAAGAGAAAATGTATTTGCACCAAAAAACTTTGCTTTCTTTGTCCTTTTAACATTTTTTACGCTAATATAAACTATAAAGGGGCTTTTTTGGTGTGCTTCTTAAAATCAAACAACAAAAGCTGTACTTCACATTTTCACAACAAAAACAAATAAGGTAAATATAAAACAATTGAATCGTATATTAAATTTTTTTCATCCGGTCTTGTTCTGGAGGAGGGACTCAGAAAATTACAGAACAAGTTTGAGAACCGCTGTTCACTTGGAGACTGCGCTTCGTAGCTCAAAAGGCTAGCTGCACTAATCAGGCTCAAACACAAAACACTGAGGACATCCAAATATTAACTGTGTGATTATACAGTAATTTATATATAAATAAAGACTGACCACTTAGGAATGGAAGACTAGAAAAATGTTTTCATAAGCCATGAATCAGTAAAAAATTTTTGTTAGTAAATCAAAGCTTTACAAAACATTAGACATCAACAACAAAACTGAAACCACAAAAATGAATAAATCAAACTGTATTTATTTCCATAAATACTGAGTTGACTGTAACTTTACAGTTTTGTCTGACAGTAACTTAAATAAGGGGCTTACTGAAATTGAAGCAATTTTGAAATGTGTCGCCATCAAGTGGTATTTTGTGTCACTGTCTGCTTTGACACAAATGGATATTTTACTTGTCCATCATGGAAAGAAACCCATTTAATCATTCTAAAGGGAGCATAGCATGAATGTAGCATCTTGCTTCAGGCTTTGTTGTTTTTAGCACAAAGCTAACCAGCATTTTGTTGGTTAAATTGCATGATGTTTGCCAGTCTCATTTGTTTTGTTTTAAATGGGAGAAGATTTCTTTTTTAAACCAAGATTAACAAAAAAAAAAAAAAAGAAAAGTAAAGATTTGTACATTTTTAACATTTCAGGCAGAAAAACAAAAAAAAGTCTCAGTGGTGCCAAAGCCTGTGATGAGTTCTCACGCCTTCGGTGCCAAGCAAGATCTGTAAACACTCGTATTTTGTTTGTTGTGTCAGACGGTGTTTTCATACTACGTGATCAAATGAAATTTAATTTATTAATATGTATTATAAATGCCAACTTTGTGCCATACCATCTCACCCGTTTTTTTTTTTTTTTTTCCTCCAATCAGACTGTAGAAGGCGACATGACAGTTATCTTTAGTGTTTTTTTTGTTTGTTGTTCCTCTCTGCTCAGGGACATCAGGTTGTGATTCCTGTGACAGAGCTGAAGATCTGTGACACATAGAGAGCTTCTTCATGCGTTAGGTGTTCTTTGATGATTGTGGATGTTTATTTAATTCTAGAACACGTCTAGCTGAAACCGTCTGGTGTTTTGTAAGAAGTACAATGAAGACTTTTCCATAATAAAAGTGAAAGATTTTTCGAGCGAGTGCTTCTTTCTGGAACTCACGGGTAAAAGAGTGGGACACAGTCTAACAGCTTTTCACTTCTTGATTCATGGAAAACAGATTGTAAAATATTACCCAAAGTGAAAACATATGTGGAATAAAATATATCCAGACTAGATTAATAAAAAACAAAATCCAGTTTTCAGCTGGAGTTCACTCTCTGTATCTGCACACAAAAAGAAATTACAGCAGTCTGTTTTTCACTCCTTTTTAAATTCTTCTGGTTGCAATATCTAAACAAAGCAACAATTAGCAACAAAATCTAAAATTAGATGTTTGGTTGCAAGGTGTTGAAATCTCAGTTTGCTATGAAGTATCGCAAAAAAGAAAAATAACCAGCAGTCTTTTTATTCTACAGGTGTACATGTACAGATTAAGCCAATTAAACCTCTAAAGTGAGTATATTGGCTGAACAGCTTCAGATAAAGCTAAGGAGGGAAAAGCTGATGAAAACATGCCTGAGATCTTTTAAATCTCAGTCCAGTTTAACTCCACTACAAACAACAGAGCATAATGACTTGACACTCAGTCAGTGACACACACACACACACACACACACACACACACACACACACACACACACACACACACACACACACACACACACACACACACACACACACACACACACACACACACACACACACACACACACACACACACATGCAGATGAGCTAATTAGAGATGGATACGGAGCCATTATCGTCATGTTGATACCATCCAATCCAACAGACATCAATGTGTTTGTAGATAAAAAGGCAGGCTTAGAGAACACCAAGTGGTAAATATTTAAGAAGAGATCAAACATCACTCAGTAAATATCTTGGAAGAAACTCAGAAATGATTTTGAAGTTTCGAACTTCTTTCTTTTTCCCCTCATCTTTTCCAACTTAGCCCAAAATGTTTGGGGATGTAATCAACATGAAGTTTGGAGTATGAGATTTTCATTTGCGTATGGAAAGCTCTTACATGAATAGCATTAAATTAATTTAAAATAATGTTTAAGGTAACTGCATTCTAGCTCAGAAATAATAATAGCAGTAATGAAATGGTTCTGAAGTGAACAATGCACAGCAAGAAACACAAACAAAAATTGGATTGTGATTTTGTTTTAATTCATGTGGCATATTATAAGAATAAATAAATAAAGTCTCATACATAGTTTCTCTGATATTTGCTTATAAAAGTGAATGAGTGTTGATATGTTGAAAAGTTCATGCACAGCTCCTTGTTGATACAACAGCGCACTCTGCTGGCAGGTTTTATGAAGTCCATCTAATTTGGTTGATCTTGCGTCTCATTTTTACATTAAATTCTAAGGTATCAATCAGATATGAATTTACATCAAACTCTGTTTTTGAAATATTTAATTATTTTAGCTAGCAGGGTGGTAACTTTAAGAGTCTTTTTAAAAAATATTAAATATTTTAATATTGTTTACCTTTGTTTATAATTTGCATTACAAGACTGTACAGCATGTTGGGGCTTAAGATTTTGTTTTGTGGAATTGTCAAAAGCTGCAAGAACTTCTGAAAAATCCTTATACTTAGGATTTTGGTAGAGGCCAGAATCTACCAAATACTTCAGAAAAAAAAAAAAGATTGATAATTTATTTTAATGACATAATATAAATATACAATGAAAATGTTGATGTGGTTCTGGAACAGAGTTTTCTTCTGAATCTCCGAATACCTTAATCTTCATTTTGTGATTGCAACCTTTTGTAAAATCATAAACTTCTAAAGCAAATACAAAAATATACATCTAATATATTTGTTATAAAAATAGTCTCCACTTTAAATTATTAAATCTGGGCTTCATTTGAAATGTGTGGAGCTTTTCCTGTAAAAACTCTCCTCAACAGACTAAAGTTCATACTCAATAAGATATTCCGGATATATCTGATTTGGATCAAATATGATGAATATCATGGGATCGTCGAGATCATCCACACAGCTGTCGTGAAAATTTTCAAGACTTCCATGATCTGGTTTACAGAAATAAAACTCTCCAAGTTTTGATTTCCCAACAATCACCCGAGCAAGAAAGAGCACTTTAGTGAGTTTACCGTTTGTTGGAGCTATCCTGGTGGCACAGTATACGTCTGCATAGAATGCACAAGTGGCAAAATATATCCCTGCAGAGAGAAAAGGGGAAAAAAATGATTTGATCAGCTTAAATAGAAGCTTTGTGTCATTACACATGTTTTTTACTGAATGCTATTCACTTTTGTAACTACATTTATGCCTATGACATTCTCTCTAACCATTCTATTCCTAATCCTAAACTTAATTCAAATCATTCCTCTAAATCTATTGAGTAAAGCGTAGTAGAGCTGCAGAAAAGTGAGGTTGAGGTCCTTACAAAGCAAATGGTCCCTTTTTGTTGGTAAAAAGGGTGAAAGTGGTCCTGTAAATGCAACATATACAACTATGCTCACATGCAAAATATTAAGGTTTCTATATTGACTTCATTACCTTTGCCATAAAGTTTCCCATGCTGTCCAGCCAACCGTAAATCAAAGTTATTTGTGCAAATGCTGGCAATATTTTTACTGTCAGTGCCGTGGAAAAGCCGCCTTTCTTGAATGCTGTTGGTGCCCCGAAGCCTCATTAGTTGTTTCTTTTTTCTAAAAGTAGAAAATAAATACTTTGCTTTGTTTGTTTTCAAGCTAGACGAGACAAAAAATATAATGCACTTGCATCTGAAAACCTTTCTTACCTGCAATACATTTCCCAGATGTCCAGGTTTTGTATCCTTGTTATTGATACTATGGTCTTATTCAGGAGTCCATCATGTGTCATATAATGAGCCACATCCTGATACTCTGGGGTGCATTTATCCAGTGGGATCAGCTGTGCAACGTAAAAGACGTTGGGGTTTAAGGCGTGAGCAGTATAAAAGGTTAAAAAGGCATAAATACCATTAATATACCTAATTAAATCAGAGGAAAATTTCAGCATGTCACAAAATATGGCCCTGGCCTGGGAGCTACACCAAAACTAGCCCTTGTGTATTTCACCTACAATGTGACTTAGACCAGGAGTGGGCACCTCCAGGCCTCCGGGGCCGGTCTCCTGCAACTTCTAGATGTGTCTCTCCTTCAACACACCTGAGTCAAATAATGAGGTCATTAGCAGGACTCTGGAGAACTTGACTGCATTTAGGAGGTAATTCAGCTATTGGATTCATCTGTATTGGACCAGGGAGACATCCAAGAGTTGCAGGACACTGGCCCTTGAGGACCAGGATTGCCCACCCCTGACTTAGACGTTTTTTCAGTTTTTACCTGGTAAGGAGCTGTGGCATCGAAATGTTCCCAGCTAACAGGTGGAGAACAGAAACAGGAACACCTGCGAAAGGAGCAAAGTCTGAACTGTAGGTTTCACTTTCACTTAGTGTGAAATCAAACTGAAATGACAGTGTTGTAGTAAATTGGATCCCAACATCTCACCTATTCTCAAGATTAAAGTTGCGTTGGATTCTTCTCTGTTTTCCTGTGGTGAGGTCCGTCTGTAGCATCACTGCGCGGGAAAAACACACACATTTTAGCTCATTTTCAGGAGCAGCGAACCGAAACTGAGATCAAATGGGTGTTCACACACACACCTGAAAAATCTATTTTGCTCACATAGCTGCCTGCATCTACAACCATGAAGGATTCATCATTCAAATAAAACTTCTCTATATCCTCACTCCTGACACCATTACTGGGATCATCCTGAAGAACACAAAGAAGACATTGCTACATTGATCAAACAATAACTCTTAAAAAAATTAGATAAAAGTTTACCTCAAATCTGTGCCACCTCCCACAATCTGCCTGGAAATACCAATGCCATGGCGTGTCGGATGTGTCCATGTTTTCTTCTTCATTTAGAGCCCACATTGTGCTCACCAACTAAAGCTGAATATAAAAGATAACGCGCTCTACCTGTCTGTGTCCCTCATATGACTATTTAATTAGGCTTTTGAGTTTTTTGCCTCCTCAGCTAAACCACTCCCACTGAGGTAGGCTGGCTGTCCTACACCCAGTTAACTGTGTCACAGTTTCTACTCAGTTTGGAAACCTCTGGAATTTAATTTAAGTTTAGTCCAGGTCTAGATAAATAGAATGAGAAAATATGTACAGTTCCGGGCATTGTTTAGTTTTCCACCATGACAAACGTCACCCTCTTTTTCCTCTTTTCTGATTTGGTCTTATGGTTTTATGGTGGTTAAATTAACAAGTGCATGGAAAACATGGCTGTTTTCTACTTCATTTAGTGTCAACATTGACAAACTAAAGCTGAATAAATGAATGAACCCACAGTATCTCTATTTGTATTTCTGGCTCCTGAACTAAATTACCCCATTTAAGTTAGGTTAGTTTTTCCCAAGAGAGGACAAAAAGTTGGGTTTGTCAAAGGCTTCATATCTGATAAGGTCTATTGAAGTCTAAGTAAAATATATAAAATATTCTGTGGCGAAAAGTATTTACGATGAGCAACACACCCACAGCTTTCCATACACCCATGCCAACACTCACTTATGACGTAAGGCAACTGTGTTTTTCTTGTACACAAAAGAAGGCAAGACATATTTGCATAGAACAATTTTGAAATATGATAATGTACAGTTCTTCATGGAAAAGTAAATGAACAGTTCTGCTCTTTTACTGTATTAGAAGAACAATAAAAAAATCAATCATCACATGAAAATGTCAATGACTTGGCTATCTAGCTTTAGCCTGGTCACTGGCTAAAATGACTTGACTAAAACTAATGATTCAGTTTGAAAAATCAAAGTCATTTCATATGACTTTGTATATCAAAACGTTTTGATATACTTTTCAGATCAAAATGATGGAAATGACCTGAACAGAGTTAAGTTACATTTAATCACCAAGGATATATTAGCAAATGTATAAGTGCTTCCTAATCTTTGTTAATTGCCAAAGGTACACAGGAAAATACAGACACACAAGTTAAAATTACACAGAGCATAAATCACACAGAAATCACTGGAGCTCTAGATGTGTGATGTCATTGACCCTTTTAAGTTAGAAGTTTTCAGCAGAGTCTATTTGGACTCTGGTTCAACCAATCAGCAAACACTGTCCCCTTAAATGCTGATTGGTTAACATGCTAATATTTAAATAGGTGATGTTTTTGTCTATATTATACTTTTTACTGGTAATTCAAACATTATTGAACTCTGTTGTAATGTCTTGATTGGTACAACAGTACCATCTGCCGACTGATACTTTTGATAAACTTCATCTAATTTAAATTCTTTTAAAAAGAAAAAAAAAAAAACTTCCAGGAATATTTTTGTACAAACTGACCTGCCTGGATTACATATTTTAATTTTAAGGTACTGTTCAAGTAAATCAACTGTATGTATTATATATTGTACGTATGCACATCTGCATGTGTTGCTCACACACTCATCTTATACATACAAATGGATAAAGCAGGATAAAACAGAAAGACACACACACTTTCGTTTGGTTCTGAAGTTTATTTGTCGGTTGTTTTAACTGACTAAAGTTGAGTGAGGTTATTGGTACTCTATAAGATACTCTGGGTAGATCTGATTTGGATCAAATATAATAAATATTTTGGGATTATTGGCATCGTTCACACAACTGTCAAATGCGTTTTCATCGTCTGGCTTAAGTAAACCCTGGTTTCCAACTTTAAATTTCCCAACCATGACCCGAGCAAGAAATATAATTTTTGTATTTCCATGACGTGCGCTGTTGGTACTGTATCTGTCTGCATATGATGCATGGATGGCAAAATATATACCTGTAAAGAGAAAAAGAACAACACAATTCAGACAGGTTTTATATTTTAATTACAAGCATGATTCGTGGCAGTGGCTGCCTTACCGTTACCAAATGTTCTTCCGATTCTTGCAGGTGTCCTTAAATCAAAGTTATACTTGCAAATGCTGTCCACGTTTTTAGTGTCAGTCCCGTGGAAAAGGCGCTTTTCAGGAATATCTTGGACACGTTTAATTTTCATAAGCTGTTTCTTTTTCCTGAAGAATGCAGGGAGTGACAATTGGTTCAAAAAAATGTAATTATATCACAGACAAGAAATTGTTCATCTCAAAATCTCAATATAAAAACTTTTTCTTACCTGCAGTATATTTCCAAGAGTTCCAGATTCTGTATTCTTCTTATTGATACGATGGGTCTGGATAGGAGACCAACCTGGCTCACATAATCTGCCACCATCTTATACTCTGGGGTGAGCTCACGCAGTGGGATCAGCTTAAAAACACAACACACATGCAGTACCTTGAAGAGATTTTGTTCCCCCCCTGAATCACTTTCCATTTTGTCCTATTCCAACTAAAAACCTTCATTTAGTTTAGTGGGGATATATGTGACAGACCAAACAATAGAAAGGAAAAGGGATAAGTAGGTAAGTACAGCATTAATCAGAAGAGCATGAAAGAAAACCTTTGGTAACCCTGGAGGAGCTGCAGAGATAAACAGCTTAGGTGGGGAATCTGTTGACATTACAACCAGTTCTTGTACTCTTGACAAATCTGGCGTTCATGGGAGAGTGGCAAGAACAAAGTTATGATTGAAGGAACCCATAAGTCATTTTTAAAGTTTTGTTTTTGTGTGTTAGTCTATTGCAAAAATTAGAATAAATAAAATTCAGAGGTTAGTGGCCGCTACATACAAAAATGTGAAAAAGTTCAGCAGGAATAGTAAATACTTACTAAGTGAGTCTATGAAGGTGTTCAGCAGAAACAAAAGCATGTTTCCCCCCCCCTCAGGTACCTACTAAACGGTAAAACATTTATTTTACTACAGATCATAAAATACCCGAAAGAAAGGTTTTCCAAATTATCTATCCACCTCAAAAAAAAAAAAGAAAGAAAAGAACTGGATTTAAGATGAAACAACCACATCTCACTTCCTGAACTTCATGTAAAACTCTGAAACCTGCAGAGGTAACTAAAAATAATGGACTTTGTTGGGAATGTCAGGGCTCACATAAATACTTTTTATGGCAAAACAGAAAAAAAAAAACATGTTTCTACATTCTGAATCAGAATCATGAGCAAATTGAAAACCATTCATGCAAATAACTTACAACAAGTCACACAGTTTTGGTGCTAAATGTCCATAACCACTCAAAAGTTGTTTAGCACTGATGCCAACAGCTGCCATTTTATTTTGGTTGCCATGTGCAGTTACAATTTTCCAATAAAGCAAAACAACTGAAAATCAGGGATGCCATGTTCTTTAAACTCTTTGAAGTAAAACTGATTTTTATTTTTTTTATATTTTTTTTTCCTCACCTGATAAGGAGCTGTAGAATCAAAGTTTTCCCAGAAAACAGGCAGTCCACAGAAACAGGAACAGCTACAGGAAAACATGAGCAAAGACGCGGCTGCAATGGTTTCACTTTCACTTTGTAAGAAACCAAACTGAACTCACGGCGCTGTGGTTAACAGGAGCCACTGGCAATACTTCACCTTTTCTCAAGATTAAAGCTGCGTTGGATTCGCCTTTGTTTCCCTGTGTTGAGGTCGGTCTGTATCATCACTGCACAGAAACACACATTTCAGCCGATTAAAGCTGGAAATAAGCCGAAACTGTGAGCATGAGTGTTCACACACACCTGAAAAATCAATCCTGCTTCGGACGTTGAATGTATTTATGTTCATAACGGAGTTTGAGTCTCTCAAATACCATTCCTCTATGTCCTGACTTCTAAAGGACTTGCTGGGATCATCCTGGGGAATGAAAACAAAAGAGCAAAGTGTCAATCATGATCACACATACAGAAAAGCATAAAAATCTAAAGGACAGATGAAGGTTTACCTCAACTCTGTGCCACCTCCCACAGTCTCCCAGATAATACCAATTCCACGGAGTGTCAGATGTGTCCATATTTTCTTCTTCATTTAGAGCCCACATTGTGCTTATGAACTACACCTGGATAAAGAGTGTACTTGCTCTACCTGTCTCTGTGTCACTCATGACTATTAAATTTGGTTTTTGAGTTTCTGCTTCCTAAACTAAACCACTCCCACTGAGGTAGGCTGGCTGGCCTTCACTGAAGATTTCCAGTTAATTGTGTGAAACAGAATTTCTATTCAGTTTGGAAAAGTTTATACCAGGTCTAAATAAATAGAACAAGACAGTAGGTGCATTTCCAGACATTGTTTCTTATCCCGCCATTAAAAACTTCACCCGTTCTTCCTCTTTCTGGTTTTCTGAAGCTTAAAATAACATGCACTAATGGTTCTAGACAAAACCCTGGCTTTCCTAGTTGAATCTGATAAAGACTGGACTTTTTAAATGACGAACAGGCAGTGATTCTGGTCCATATCTTCCTGTCTGATGAGCTGCAGACTGTAAAGTATTTGATTCTGTGCTGCAAAATTTTATTATGCTGTGCAACATACACACAGAAACATACAGTTGTCAATAAATCCGACTCATACACTCAAAGCTATCAGTTATGAACTACAGCAACAGCTTTTTAACAGAAGCCAAAATGGTCCGTTCTTATACCAGCTGGTAATAGATACAATCATCCAAATAACAGAGCAAAAGCAATATTACATTATTAAGCAACATTACTTATTTCAGTACATCCTGTGCATTCTAAAAGTACTTATTCTGGTTGAACTATTCCACATTGTGTTACCGCCACAAACTTTTATGTATTTTATAGGAACTTTATTTGATAGAGCGACACTAAGTAGTGTTGAATTGTGAGGAGGAAGGACATAAAACATGCTGGATAGTTTTTCTGGAAAGTGTGGCATGCGTTTTTACTTTCCCCATTTTTAGTTTGAAACTCATAAGCAAATCACCTAATTTATTAATATTAGCCCATTTATTAGCCCACCGGTCACAATAGAGACCAAGAAATTAATTTCACTTTCAAGGTCTCCAAAAAGCTTACTCATTAAATTTTCAGTTAATGTTCAGCAAATATTGAGAGTTTAGAGTAATTATATCAGTGGTTCCCAATCCCCGGGCCGCGGTCTGGTACTGGTCCGTGGACCAATTGGTACTGGGCTGCGCAAGAAATAATTAAATATTTCCGTTTTATGTATTATATGAGTCTGGAGGAGTCTGGAGTCTGTGTCCAGGAGCAACACACCACACACGAACCGAGCACAAAGTGCTTTTACTGCTTGGCCAATATGCAAAGCACTGCGAGGAGGAACACAAATCAACACATCACTGTTCAGTCTAAACAGACCTTTTCAATAGTGGAAGCTTTCATTTAGCAGGGCTTGTTCGGTTGATGTGAAGATAATCTGGAAGAAAACTTTTAGTAGTGGCAAAAAATGTCAAACTCAGACAAAGATCCAAAAGAGGATAGTTTAACTATGTATAACAGCCCAGTCAAATTCCAGGCCCAAATTCAACTGGGAAACTGTGGTCAGACTATTTTAATCTCTAGCTGTGGATTTCCTAACCTAACATCCTTACCCAAAAGACTTGCCACTTTAATTTAAGCAAACTACAAAGTTATGACTCAAGAAGGTGAGTACTAATGTATGCCACACTGCTCAGATTTCTATTGGTTAAATTTGGACAATCTATCACATAAAATCCCAATAAAACAAAATACATAGTCATAATGTGGCAAATGGGGAAAAGTTTAAGGCATTCAGATACTTTCACAAAGCATGTTATGTTCTGACATTTATAACAGGTTAAATGTACTCCAGGTGCAAAGGTGACTTGTTTTCCTCAGGTACAGCTGTTGATGATCTCACACATACAGGACTGCATTTCTAATGTGACGCTCGTCTGGTTTCCAACGGACATGAACTAAGCCACGATAACTCTTCGTAACAAAATAAAAATGCAAGTTCAGTCGTCAAAACCTCTAAAGATACACTTGGGAGCTACAGACAAACATATCATCACAAGTTTGTGTCGCAGTGACACAGTTAGGAGTAAAACCTTTCACAGAAAGGGTAAAAAGTGCACTGATGCATGGTTTAAATAACACAGAGGTAGAAGCTTATTATGAGAAGAATTTGTCAAAAGGTCACGCTTAAATAATAACAGTGACAGTAAGAAAGGTGCTTTGGATGGCAACATGACTCATGGTGCGCTAAAGGTTTTAGGTGAAGTGTTACCAGGAATTTCTTCAGAAACTTCAAGTGGATTTCCTAACCTAACATCCTAACCCAGGCTCTCTTAATGGAGGTTTGGGCCAAATGGTTGAAGTTTGGATACAGCCAAACTCCCATCAAACTACAAACTTAATAGTGGTAGTTATCCAAAATCTATGTTTATAATTTTGAGCCGCCAATTAGGAAAAATGAAAAAAAAAAAATTCTTATTAAATTCTTTGTAGTGCTACGTTGTATAATCGCTCCTTCCCTGGAAAAAGAACGATCATAAATCACCATAAAAGCCACACACTGTCATGACATTAATGCCAATAGGACCGTATGTAAACTACTGCGAACAAATGCAGGCACTCACAGTCCTTCATTGTAACAAACTAACAACAGATGAGACCACAACATATTTTTGGTATAATAAATTGGCATATGTATGGCACTGTGGATTAAAAATAAGACGAGGAGTCAGAGTTGGAACATTGCCTTAAATCTCCAAACTGAAGCCACTCAGTGCAGACAGTGTAAGAAGCGAAGTGACATATAGTACAAAACAAAGCACACATGTCAGTATTTTTAACTTTTGATCAATGTGTTCAGAAAGCCGCCATTGTTTTTCCACCTTTTAAACATTTCCAAAGGCACTTTAAAGAAAAAAATAATAATCCAATGCTCCAGTTACTCACTGGAAGTGACGTTTTGTTTTTTTTCTTTCTTTTCTTTGTTTTCTTCTCCCATTTCCAAAAATCGAAACTGTTCATCAACTATTTTCTCATCAGTAGAACTCGATCAGATACTCTGGGTAGATCTGATTGCTGTCAAATATAACGTATATCTTTGGGTTGGCCATGTCGTCCACGCAGCTGTCGTAGAAGTTGGTGAAGCTGGCATCCTTGGAGGGCGGCCTGCAATACATGGGATGACCGACTGTGTATTCGCCAACGAGCACTCTGGCGAGGAACATGGTTTTATAGGGCGGCTCGTTGGCAAATATAGGCGGAGCGAGTCCGTGCCTTTGCAAGGTGGTGTTATGTTTCCCGGTTGTGTGGCAGAATTTACTGGAATATTTGGCGTCGCGGGCAAAGTAGCTCCCTGCAGGAAGGAGAATGAAATGAGATTTCAAAAATCAAACAAATGATGAAACCGGTGCATTTACGCGTCAGTCCAAAGGGATTGTACCTTTGCCATAAACATCACCATGACTCCCTGTCAGACGCCAGTCAAAGTTAAACGTACAAATAGCTTGTATGTTGCTGTGTCCTGTTCCATGAAACAGCATTCGCTCTTCAATATCCAGAGTTCGCTTGACTTTTCGCAACTGTGTTTTCTTCCTTAGGGGAGAAACACAACACAGAGCATAATAATGGATTTACAGGTATGAAAGACTTTATTGAACTCTGTTAGTTTGACTCATACTCATCAGCAAACACAAACTTTTGCTGCACGAAATCCAAATCTGTTGCTGATTCTAAAACTATGTCCTGCTGTTTTTATTTGTTCCCAAATTGTCGGAAGGGCCGCCGTCTTTAAATTTATTTAGCCAGCGTATATAAAAACTAACATCACAGTCGCAGCAGAATCCTCTGCTCACAAAAGGAAACATGTTAGAATCAGTTCAAAACAACACATTACCTGCAGAAGAACTCCCACAAGTCCAAGTTCTGGATCCTCTGGATGGATTTTATTGGATGATCCATCGTCCTATCGTACAGCCTGGCTACTTCCTTAAACTCATATGTGTCTCTGCCGAGCTGGATAAGCTGCGGGAAAACAAACTAAAATTTAAATACACATTGTGATTATGATTATGTTGTATTATTATTATTATTGCTCCTTCTTCGGCATCAAAAAGTGTCAAAGTGTTTGTGATAATCAATCATAAAAATCATTAACATTTTTACAGAGATTATCTTTCTAGGACCTAAAAAATTGTTTAATTATTTGAAGCATCTTTCGTTGTGAGGGTTTCAATTTATATTGAATTCAGAATATTCAATATATATATTTATATATGTATATATCTATAGATATGTCTTACTTGATAGGGCTCGTCTGTATTGATTCTCTCCCAGTGACATGGCACAGGCAAGGCCAGATTATCACAAATAAACCTGAAAGAATAAATCAAAAACTTAATTTTAAGCTAAAATTAAGTGACATTATACAAAAGGATAATTCCTCATCTATTTTTTTTACATATTGTGCACCACAAATCCCTTCAAACTCCTAGGTTCTACCTTTTTGAAGGACCACACTCAAGGGAGGGTATAATGTATTTCCCAGGCACATAGTGTGATTTCAGAACACAACCAAGAACCTAAGCTTCAGTTGTACTGGAAAGACTATATTTATCAAAAACAACTTTCAAAGAAATTTGTATTTGAATCATACCCAAATGGTACGCCTTGAAATCAGCCTCTGTCTCTTTAAGAACCCCATACACCATGTCATCACGATGCTTCTTCATGAGAAACTCAGGTGACGACTAAAGATCCAACGCAGAGTTTTAGATAGATAAGAGGCTCATTGTATGAGCGGGCATTTAGGCAACATAAAATGGCTGCAACACGAGATTCTAAGACTTCTCAAACATGCATAAATCAGTGAAAACAACATTCTGGTGGGTATAATCTTGATGACTTATACAAATGGTATAAAGTTGAAGAAGTCGATTTTTTTACATTTTCTTTGCATACTCAACCTTACCGGAAGCCAGTGGCAGAGTGTAGGGAGCGTTTAATTGGCCTCTGTTTTCCTGTTGTCACGTTAATCTGTCGCATAACTGGGGAGGAAAAAAAAATATTTCAGCACTAAAGAATCTGCAATTTATCAAAAGACAACAAACAGCTACTTATGAACGGCTTCTTAGATTACTCATCTTTATTGGTAAAATATTTCAGTTTACCTGAGAAGTCCAGCCTGTAGGTGTATTTGGCTGTGTAGAACTCCATGACCCCTCGCTGGTTCCTGTTATAGCACTGCTCAATCTGAGCGCTGGTCACTGAGCAGGCTGCGCTGGGATCGATCTGACAGAGACATCAAGACAGAGCAGAGCACATCTCAACCAATCAGATGATCAACTGGAAGGAAAAAAAAATTACACATCCTTGGCATCAAAAAGGAATTTTACTGAAGGGCTGACTTACAATGCATTGAAAATATATTCATACGTCTAACTTTTCCCATCCCCATTTACCATGCTATGACCTCTAATCTGACCAGATGACACAAAAAAGTCAATTTTTTGAACAAAATTCAGTGTGATAAAAAACTAAACTTGTATGCAGTACTCAGAGAGCAAAGCACTGAGGTAGCACATCTGGCTTTGTTTTTTTTTTTTTTTTTTTTTTGAAAATGGTAAATGAAGTTAATCAGAGGAAATGGGAAGATGGATGGAGGATAATACTGGAAGAAAATGTGTCAATAGCTGCTTGCACCAGGACAGCAACTGTAAATATATGATTAGAGCTTGAACAAAATGGTTTACATCAGCCTAGTCAAAGTCCAGATAGGGGTTATCCTTTGAGTCTCATTCAAATTTAAGCTTGTTTTAATATCAACAAAATGTTCAGCCTCAAGACGGGGAAAGCTGGAAAAGACAGCCCAAAACAATTATAGCAGTAATAGAAGCAGAAAGTCAACAACGTACAAAAGCACGCCACACGTTTCAGATTTCAATTTGTAAGAAAAACAAAAAAGAATAAAAACGTTTTTGTTGCAATTCACAGCTGTCTATGATTTTGTGTTGGTCTACCCACAAATCACACAGTGAGGTTTGTGCACAGTAAAAGTATATATGTCTTACCTGACATATGACATATAGATGAAATTACATTTAAAAAAAATATTTTGTTTTACATGGACACAAAAAAAATCATGTGGAAATTAGATATTTTTAAGTAAAAATGTCTAGAAATGCTAATACTTTTACCAGGCACTCTATTCTCTTTTGTGGAAACTATTCTTATACATTATTAGTCAATATATTCTTTTTACAGATAAGTCGAGGTTATTATTAATTTATCAAAAAGAATTGAACTTTAATAAAAAATAAATAAATAAACATTTTGTGCAACCCCAAAAACTATGCGCAGGAAATGTAACTATTTGCGAGCTTAAAATCAATTAACAATAAAAGTTTCTCCCATTGGTTTACATTTAATCTCGTACAATTTTTTGCTAGAAACTTTTGTTTCTAGCTAAAGATCTCACTTGTGCATCAAAATGCATTTAAATCTGATCAAAGCTGATCTACCTCAAACATGTGCCAGACTCCGCATTCGGCCAAGTAGAACCAGCACCAGTTTGGCTCCGAGGTGTCCATCTCCTCAATCTCAGTGGACTCCTCGTCTGAAGATCTGATGGCTAACATTGCTAAATCTGAAATGAACACAAGCAAATAACAAAAATTACGGGGGAGTAACGAATGACACGAAAGGGGGGACTGAGAGGGACTGTGCGCTCATTTCATTTGCTAGACGAACCTAATGTGGACGAGCTGTGTTTAAGTCGTTGTCGTGAGAGCATCCCATGCTGTAAACAAACTCAAACAGAAAGATGCCATGTCGAGCTAGCTCTCCTTAGCGGCTGCCGCAGCCGCTTCCCCTGAGCTCTGCGGGAGTTTCACCGGCTTTCAGTTTGCGTTTAACTGGGCCTGTCTTCTCGAAATGTAATGCCTTCATAAATAATAAATAAGGACGATGAAAAATCAAAGAGACGGAACGAGCGTGGACGAGTAAATATCATTTTCCTTCTGGAACCCGTTGTTTACTTTTGTTTCCGGAAACGTAACGCGAGCGTCAGCGCGCGAGTCAAATAAGGGGAGGGAAGGCGTGGGGAAACTGAACCCGGAGTTTGTCCTGCCAGGTGCGCCGTCAGACGAGGGAAAGGGGTTATTTCGGATATATTTAATTAAGTTTCACAGTTTATCTTTTTTGATTTTTAATCTTTATTTTTTTTAAAAGGGAAATTATTAAAATAATTCTAGCCTGGCTCATCCTAATTGTCCTGTTCTGTAACCTGAAAAACACACATGAAACATGTTAACTGTTAGTGACATAATATTGTCTTTCATGATCAGGAAGACTTAAATGATTTGGGAATTTTAGTTACTATTGTAAACATTTCAGCAATTAGAAGTACTATTAGAACTTAATGTAACTTAATCCATCTTCTATGGGACAGCCTTGGTGTGTCTCGTTGGACACGCCCCTTGTATAATAAGCCTTGTCTTCAAACTTTGCTCGGATAAACGAGAGGGATTTTTATCTTTGATGCATTCAAGAAACACACTGGTAAGTAAAAAGTTTGTTTTTGACTAATTGAAACATTTGTGGCATGTTGACATTGTGGTCATTTACAAATAGCTGTTTTGGTGAAAAATTATTATTACATTTTCTTAAAGATAGGAGAAATCTGTTCTGCTGAAGAAGTACAAATTGTCTCGTTTTTGCATTTAAATTAATGCTTTTGTATATGCATGTGTAAAAAGATGGCTGTAATACAACATATGTTTCATTTCATCGTTTCTTTGCCTTTAGGGGGGTTATGGCAGAAGAAACAGACAAAAGGGGCTCTGCTGAAGAGCACGGGCTGGACAAACAGGATCCTGAGGAGGGGGTTCAGCCCAGGGGAAAATGGGCCAACAATATGGAGTTTATTCTCTCCATGGCTGGAGAAATAATTGGCCTTGGAAATGTTTGGCGCTTTCCCTATCTGTGCTATAAAAACGGAGGAGGTAAGGGGGGGTGTTTGTGAAACACGTCCCACAATCAAAAATGATTAAACAATTTTCTGAAAATAATCCAATTTTCTCATGAGAGCCTGTCATTCCAGGGGTCTTTCTCATCCCCTACTGTGTGTTCCTTTTCTGTTGTGGCATCCCTGTGTTTTTCCTGGAGACTGCGTTGGGCCAGTACACCAGCGAGGGCGGGGTGACTGCCTGGAGGAAAATATGTCCCATGTTTGAGGGTAAATAAACAGACATACAGAAGAAGAGATAAACCTTTGACAATAGCTGCTTTGTGCTATCACTGTCAATCTTCTCTTTTTGATAACCAAAGAGCGATACAATGAGATACAGAGCCTTGCAAGGGAAGCTAATTTCCTTTGAACTTTTGCACATTGCAACCACAGACTTCATGGTCTTTTGCTGGCATTTTACCAGCTCAAAGAAACGAGTCGTAACCATTGCGAAATCAGAACAACACTCTCAAGATCAAACTGTATTCCAACACAAAAAAGAATACACCCACTAACTGTGTGAAAAATTTACTTTCCCTGCAGGGCTGGGGATTGCATCCCAGGTGATTGTGATCTATTTGAACGTCTATTACATTGTGGTTTTGGCTTGGGCTATCTTCTACCTATTAAACTCTTTCAAGAGCCCCCTGCCTTGGTCTTCATGTGCAAACTCGTGGAACACTGGTAAGGAAATAATAAGTGATGCCTCTATAAACACACGTGTATTCACTCAGCAGAAAAGGACATATTCTGCCAAATCTTTTTTCTCACACATAAAGTAACCTGTCCTTTTTTCTTTTCTTACCTTCTTTTGATAACATTTACTTAACAGAATTTTGCTTCAGTCGACTTGGCTTGTTTGCCAACCCTGAGCTTTTTAATAAAGATTCCAACTGGTCATTTCTGCACAACATCTCTTCAAATGGCTACGAAGACGACTTCAGTAACTTGTAAGTTGCATCTTTATGGCCCCTGACGTTTTTGTGACACACAAACTGGAGAATGAAATCGAAGACTGACATCAATAACATGTTGGAACATGAGGGAGACACCCATTCTTTTCTGTTTTAAGCCTCCAGGTTGGGATTACAAATTAAAAAAATATATATTTGAAGAGCTTGCAAGGAATAAATAGTCTGATAGTTCCAGAAAGAAGGTACAATTACTGCTAAGCTCAAGATAAAAACAAGTATGGCAGTTAAATTACATAAGTTTCTTCAACCAGGTTGAACCTTTACTATCTTTCTAAAGAAATATTGTTTATGCATGAATTGAACAAATAAACCAACTCCTGCATTCCTGAAAAAAATTATTTACTTATTTATTGGTTGGTTTAGCAGTATTCCCTTCTCACCGCTCTACAATATATTCCTGATCTTCGCTATAGAGGTAACAGGAAGGCCTAAGGAACTGCTTTTAAATAGTCAGTAGAGAATTAAGAAAAGAAATGGTTTTACTGTTGCAAAGGCTTAAATTTAGTGTGATTAAATGTGATTTGCTATTCTTAATATTTATGTTTTTTTTTTTTTTTTTACTTTTGCCAGCAATGAAACTTTTTTGAAAATCAGCTCCCCGGAGGAGGAGTTCTGGGAGTAAGTAAACCTAAACGCACTCCATCTCCAAACTGCATGAATGTTTTCCCACTTTCCCATATCTTCGTAATCATTCGACAATGACAGCGAGTTGTACCGATAAATCAAAATGTTCAGTCACTGTCACAAGACTCTGAACATTGCTCTCCTCGACAGTCTTGATAGATTGTTCTGTTCACTCAAATAGGAGACATCGGCACAGCCGAAGCTTCAGGCGTCAACAGTGGCAGCTAGCAGCAACGTGATCTAAATGATTTTTTCGTACCCATTAAAGAAGTATGCAGAGTTATGGGAACATGAATGCTTTGTATCATTGAAAAATGTCTCCTATGCATGAAATAATTTGTCGATATCTGACATTTTGGGAAATTCAGAGAATTAAAGTGTAATAGATTTGATAGTCTGCATCTAGAAAACATCTATTAGTCATGGCGCATGTGGTTTCAAATTGCTCACCTGCAACTGGTGGTTGATTTTGGCTAGAGCATTAAGATTTTGTGAAATGGCCGGAATGTCATGGTCGAGGAAGAGGCAGCAAGTAGATGATGAAAGCTTAATAAAAATGATAAACAAAAACTTACAAAAAATAAAATAAAATCACAGGGAGACAGAAACCAGGAACCAGGAACAAAAAGCCAGCTTGGTGTCACAGAGGAAATAACAGAATATAATGGAAGGAGAGGAGCAAAATGGAAGAACTGCACATAAGATACTTTCTCTAACTCACCTTATGGTAAAGTGTGTTGCTGTAGAAGTTGAAACTAGTTTCAAATATAATTGTCACACTGTAAAATTTTGTACACCAAATCAGAACAATGAAATATTTTTGAAAAAAAAAAAAAAAAAAACAATTTACCTTTTTATCTGTGGAAAAGAAATACCTTAAAAGTATTTTTTTCACATTATGTCACTTTAAAACAAGTTGTTTTACAAAAACATGTCATAAAGTAGTTTACTATTTTTAAAAGTAGTGGTATAATTTATGCAGTAAGTCATTTGTTCACTTTTTTTTTAAACTAGACCTACAAAGTAAAATTGAAAGGAAGGCAAATTGTTTCACACAGAAACATTGTTCGGTGAAACTGCCAAAAGGATAGTACCATTGTGTTGCGCAACACTTTTCTCCAACAAAATAAATAACTAGTTACAATGAAAGTTTGTTGGCCATCAACTCATCACCTTTCCCCAACTGATTCACACATTTGAAGCATGAGAAAATCGCCGCTGTTTCGTCATCGACGTGTTGAACTGCCGCTGACATCCCTCAGCAGCTGCTCTTAATTCTTTTCTCAAATCATGAGGTCAGTTTGATGCTCAGTGTGCAGCATTAGGATGCAAAGCCAACAGGAGGTGAAACAAAGTCATCCAAAGTCAACAAAGAAACCGAGCCACTTGCATTCCTGAGCAACAACAGGAGACTCTTGTTAAATTTTTAGCTCGCAACTTTGATTAACTGTTGTTTGCTTTTCATTTTGTTATTATTTTAAAAAACTTTGAAACTCAGACGCTGCTCTTCACATGATTGTCTCCTGATTTGTTGTACTAGGAAATCCTTTAGCTGTGATAGGGGGGAAAAGATGCTGTTGTTTTTTTTCAAGTTCCTGTGAGTTTACTGCCCAAAGTAAAGTATTCCACAACAAATGTGACTTAATTTATACAGCAGTGTTCACAAGGAGTTATTTTCACTCATTAAATAAATAAGTGGAAACATCAAAAAGACAAAAAGCTTTTTTGACCTCGACAAACTCACTGATATCTGCATCGTGCTTTTGTTTTGTTTTTTTCTTTTCTCTGTTCATAATTAAATAATTGAGTGCGTTTTTCTTTTCTGCACAGAAACCGTGTTTTGAGAATGTCGCATGGCAAGGGTTTGGGTAATGTGCACTGGGACCTGGCTCTGTGTCTCCTGTTTGCCTGGGTGATTTGTTACTTCTGCATCTGGAAGGGAATCAAAACCACCGGAAAGGCAAGGATTTAATTCAGAATGTTGTATCAGGGTGTCAAAGTACGCAGCGGCTCTCTTTAACCTCTCCTCCTACTCATTCTTCTTTATTTGCCTTTCTGTCATAGAACTAGATTCCTCATAATTTGCAGTAATTTTATATGAAGCATCTCTTTCATCAGATTTAATGCCTCCAGGCTCTTCAAGCTGAAAGTGAGTTAAAGATCCCTGTTGATCCAAAGTCTGAGATCTAAGGTCTGTTTTTTTTTTAAATAATAAAAAAAAACATTAAACACACAAATTTAAAAATAAAACCAAAAATGAAAAATTCAAAATAAAACTGATTACGATGAATGATTTTGGTCATCGTTTACAAGAAATTATGAATGATACAATTATTATATTATCAACATTGGAGATTTTCTCACAAATTCCACTTAGGTTCTTTTTCTCATTCATTGTTTTTGCACAACATCCTCTTGGAGTGCTGGCTGTGAAAAAAAAAAAAGAGTCTCAT